TGATCCACATCAGTAGACCATATTGAGGTTTGAAAAGGCCCATCTAGGGATGACACACACACACACACACTCACATCACACTAAAGTCATGCTCATGTCTCCTGCTGACCACGATGTGACTGACTCACTGTGACACCTCTAAAGATACTCTTTAATCATGAGGGACGTGTTTTCTTAGTAGAGAACATTTACTGACATGTGCACAGAAAGATAGAAATCACCCGGACGTTTCTCACTTATCTCACTTAGAATGTCCCTATAATCTATTTCAATTAAGATCTCCTTTATTAATCTACAAGGGGAAATTCCGTTTTTGACTCTGGTGTTTTTTACAGATGTACAAATAGGCCCGAAATGTACACACACATGTACAAACAGGAACTTGGCAATTATTATTGCCCAAGGACACCTCAGCAGTGCCCAGTAGGTGAACCGACACCTCTCCAACTACCAGTCCAGACTCTGTGGTTTTGGTCTGATCGAAACTTGATTCAAGCGACCCTGTAAAAAGTACAATACCGTCCCCATTTGATCCAGCTTCCTTAAAAATCATCCTTATGCCCTTAATACATAATCTGGTAAGGGCTAGTCCACTTGTATAACAAAGTGCTTTAACAATTGATATGAGAAACATGAATACAATGTTACAGTAAAATAGATGAAGTATAATAAAGTAACATTGTCCAGGATGTATATAATTGTACAAATCAATTTAAAGCCGGTTTAAAAAGTCAGATCAGTTTTTGGTTAAAAAGGAAATACAGATGTTGTGGGAATTTTTTTTTATTCGATTTTTTTGGCCTTTTCAACAAATGGTCATCCACCCTCAGTTGCAAGTTTAGATGTAGGAACTGCAAGAATAGATATTTTTGCCGTTTTGAAGTCATCGCCCTTCTTATTTTAGTGACCTAAAATAAAAGAGGCAGGGATGACTGTGCTTGTGTCGGAATGAGTCAAGACAACCACACGCAGAATCAGAATCCGATTACCTTTAATAGTCCCACAGAGGGGGAAATGTACGTTGTTACAGCAGAAAAAGAGCCACAGACAGCTTAATGTTACATGTTACTACACTGAACAAAAATATAAACGCAACACTTTTGTTATTGCTTCCATTTTTCATGAGATGAACTCAAAGATCTAAAACATTTTCTATATACACAAAATAACCATTTCTCTCAAATATTGTTCACAAATCTGAAAAAATCTGTGATAGTGAGCACTTCTCCTTTGCCGAGATAATCCATCCCACCTCACAGGTGTGGCATATCAAGATGCTGATTAGACAGCATGATTATTGCACAGGTGTGCCTTAGGCTGGCCACAATAAAAGGCCACTCTGAAACGTGCAGTTTTGCTTTATTGGGGGGGTCTGGGGGGGTCCGAAAACCAGTCAGTATCTGGTGTGAGGGGTAGGGGTAGGGTTAGGGGGAGCAAAAACAAAAGTGTTGCGTTTATATTTTTGTTCAGTGTATGTTACATGCATTAAAAAGTACTCAGATAAAAAAAAGTTATGATATAATAAAAAATATAATAAAAAATTAAAAGTTACGCAATTTACAAAATACACATCCTGTAACAGTTCTTAGGATTTAGCAGCAGGTATATATTGCACAGTTATTAACGGCATATATATATATATCCCTATATGTTGCACATATAGCACATATTGCACATAGTTGGTTGGTATACAGTAAGGGGTGTGTCTGTATTGTGGTGTGTGTAGGGGGGGGGTCTACTAGGGGCTGTGCTGGTCTGGCTGCTGCAGGAAGGACCTGCGGTATCTCTCTGAGACAGCAGGGGTGCAGCAGCCTGTCGCTGAAGGAGCTGCACAGTGAGGACAGGGTGTCCTGGAGGGGGTGGGACACATTGTCCAGCACGGAGGATAGCTTGCCTGCCATTCTCCTGTCTCCCACCCCCTCCACAGTGTCCAGAGGACAGAGCTTCCTTACCAGTCTGTTCAGTCTCTTCCTGTCAGCAGCCGAGATGCTGCTGCCCCAGCAGGCCACACCATACAAAATGGCTGATGCCTAACAGTCATAAAAAGTCTGAAGGAGTGCCCCCTGCACCCCGAAAGACCTCAGTCTCCTCAGCAGAAAGAGTCCGCTCTGTCCCTTCTTGTACAGAGCAGCAGAATTATCAGTCATTCATGTCATTTAGAGATTTTTGTTTCAGAAGGGGAATATCTGACAGATATATTCTGTCATGGTTACAGAGTAAACTGTAGAGAGATGAGTGAAACTGTAATATGTAGAAGTATACTTCATGCTAATGGACTCTACTTTGTGTTAATGAGAGGAAGGAGCAGAGATGACTAGGAGTTTGTTTTCAATATAGATTTGTTTTAGTTTACAGCCTCTCTGCGCATGCTTTAAGGGAGGCTAAGCATCTGATACGTGCAGATTGCATGTTTGCATCTGTGGCTACCACATCTGTTGTTTTGTGGTTGACTTTAGTTTCTAAAGAGGATGTTTAACCGGAAGGGAAGTTCACATGAAAGATGCTGTAAAGCTGCACTAGGTTTAGTAGGCTTTACAGTTTATCTCACAAATTCTCCCACTTTGCAGAAACAAGGCTAGACTACTCATTTAGTGACTGAATCTGTTAGGCTGTGTGTGTGAAAGTTACACCTTGTACCGCAGCCTCTGCCTCTGCATGAATTGGTGTGATGTGAAGTGCTTTGCAGGGTCGTAAAGACTGGATAAAGCGCTATATGAAATGCAGCTCACTTACTATTTAATGTGGGCTGTACACAACATATGCTGAATCTGTTGTGCAATCTATTGTGCAGTTCATCGAAGAGAGACCGATAGAGAGAGAGCTCTCTGATTGGCTAGTTCAGTTACATTTGTGTCGTTACCCTTTTTCTTTACATCTTTACTTCAAAATATCACAGGATCTCAAAGCTATCGGATCAGTTTTGTGTTTATCAAGATTTTCCAGTTTTATTAAGGCATGTAGATTCAGATGAAGCGATGCGAGAAAATACAACAAACACACAAACATGCCGCAAATAACACAGACAACAACGGAGACTCTGTCGTCTAGGCACTATAAAAGTGCAGCGTTTTTCTGTACTTGGTTGGTGTACCTTTTCACATTTTCTTCAAACATTTAAATGTTCTGTTATGGTGAAGATGTTTCCCTATTGTGTTGTGTTGATGTGCATGATGAACTCTCAAATCAGGAGCTATGAGAAGGGTATGCTGGTTCAGTTTGGGTCGGCCTTCTGTGAAGCTGATCCTGTGCTTTCCGGTCTTGCTGATGCTAATCATATACGAGCAGTCTTTGCAGTGCAACAGAGGAAGTGGAGGTTACTGATACGTGTCGACTTGTTCTCTGCTAATGCTGGGTCAGGGCTCCAAGACAAGAGCTAAGTTCCCTGTGTTGACATGCAATTACACAACTCCACTGAGGTGCTCATGAGGACAGAACTGAAAGGATGCTACACTGTGATGCATCAAAGACGGCCTCCATCTTTTCTTACATCATGCAATAGGTAGTTATGTAAGTAGGTAAGGCCACTCCTGAACTTTGCATCAGACTCTTCAGCACATTTAACTAAATGTCCTCATCAAGTCTGTCCACCTCTCCCTCTTTCAATTCAATTCTGCTTTGTCACCCTCTCCTGAGGCAGAATAAGGGTCCGTATTCACCTCACGGACGCCCCTCTTTATGTGTTTGAGCTTAACAGGACACTCCGTACGACGCTCTTGGACACAGCAAACGCTGGGTGCAGAAGTTATGAATAGGGGGCTCTGTGGTACCCCCCGAAAGAGGGTGTGTGTGAGTGGTGCAGGGGGTGGTCTGATGGGGCCGTTTGTTGCCATGTGAGCGTGTGCCAGAGTGCATTTGTATAGAATGTGCTTGTGAGGCCTCAAACGTGCATCTGTTGGTGTGTGTGTGTGAGTTTCTGTGCACATTTCAGGGAGTGTGATACAACTACAAATGCAATAAAACATGTTTTTTAAACTATATGTGAAACCCATTGTCACAAACCTGGGAGTACGGATTGATCGTGATTTTAAACTAGACAAACAGATTAACTCTGTGGTGAAATCCAGCTTCTTTCAGCTAAGACTTTTAGCAAAGGTCAAGCCTTTCCTTTCTTTTAATGACTTTGAGAAGATAATACATTGTTTTATATCCACTAAACTGGATTACTGCAATGCTCTTTATATTGGAGTGACCAAGGCTTCCCTGTCATGCCTACAGCTGGTCCAGAATGCTGCTGCACGCCTCTTTACAAGGACAGGCAGGCGTGAACATATTACGCCTGTACTCGCCTCTTTACACTGGCTACCAGTCCATTTTAGAATACAGTTTAAAATGTTGCTGTTCGCATACAAGGCCCTGAACGGTTTAGCCCCACCGTACCTGGCAGATCTTTTAAAACCATACACACCCACACGGTCACTGAGGTCTGCTGATAGACTCATTCTGGAAGTCCCAAAATCGAGGCTAAAGCAGCGGGGAGACAGAGCCTTTGCTGTTGCAGCTCCGAAGTTATGGAACAAATTACCCCTCCAGCTTAGACTTGCTCCAACTCTGCCTGTTTTTAAATCTCGCTTAAAAACCCACTTATTTTCCTTGGCTTTTACTGTACAGACCAGGTGACACTTGTGCTGTAAAATGTGGTTTTTATTTATTTATTTTTTACCTTACTAGTGTTTTGTATTGTTTTTACGTCATATAGGAGAGTTCTTTCAGTCTGTGGCTTCTGATCTGGTTTCATTGTCTCGTATTACATTTGTTTCATGTCCTGTCTGTTTTTATGTATTTATTTATGCTATGTTTTTATACACTTGTTGATGTACAGCACTTTGTTCAACTCTGTTGTTTTTAAATGTGCTATATAAATTAAATGGATTGGATTGGATTGGATATATGATTCTTTTATCCCATGTTGATGCATTTTTGGTCCCCTTTGCTATTCTGATTTGGACTGAGACCGCTGGGAGTGGCGATCAATTGTTACAGCAATTACACAGAGGCGAGGAGGACAACACAGGATTCCAGGAGAGAGGGAGAGACACGGAGGGAAAGAGTAACAGTGAGAGAGAGATGCCTCTTAGAAAGCCACGTCCTGTCTCTCTGGGGAGAATTTGCGAGCAGTGAGACCGGGCTGAGGGTCAGAGACAGAAGCCTGAAGAGCCAATGACTGTCTCCATAATTCTCCTCAATGGTGCATCAGTGCAGCGGGACGTTACTCAGCTGTGTGTGTGAGCAGGTGCAGGACAGCAGACATGAGGACCAGAGGCTCAACTCCCCTCTGCACAGCCTTTAGACTGTAATTCAATCTGTGAAGGTAAGAAACACATTTCTTAGACATACAAATGTTTTTCATGCCAACATTTATATGTGTTGTAATACATAAAGGAATTAACACGTGTCTTTTACACTTCAGGTACGTTCCTTGGTTCCTACCTGAATACCTGAATGTGTATATTGTAGTACAGATTTATGGCTTGATTTCATTTATGTTTTACATATTGAGTAATATACTGTTTTTATTTATATAAGTATTTATATTGCGTTATTTCCACTTGCAGTTTCATTGGTAAAAAAACACAACAGTAAAAACAAAGTACTAAAATATTCAATACATTTATAATTCAGTGCATTAAAGCTTTAAATGATTGTGATATTACTGACATTCACAGAAGCCACATTTCCATAATTGACCAACCCTGAGCTGTGAATATATGTCGTTATTTTTGTAATGTTCTAAAAATATAGAGGCAAAGTACATGAACCCTAACCCAAAGTAAAGCAGCACCAATTGTAGGTAATTAAACAAAACGATAATAGTTGTTTACCTCACGATGACACCTTGTTCACAGTTCAAATTCATAGTTTACGTGTTTATTTAAAGCTGCATTGTGAATTTGATGCAGAGATTTCAAAGTGTCACAAGATGGGCATCAGAGAGGAATTTGGAGAACTGACATCTGTCGTCAAATCCAATCAGAGCATTTGATTCTAGCGCTCACATCTGACAAACACTGCCAGTATTTCACATCTCGCATTTATTAAAATACACATAGAATTCTTATTTATTCTCCACGGCATCAATACAATTGAATAAAGCTACAAAAAGTTATTGACAAAAGAGATATTTGAGTTGAAATCAGTTCACAAAGTCAGAAAGAGGCAATGATTAGTTAACACTTAAAGGACTCTAGCGCTGCAGTATAATAAGTAAAAAAATACAAATAAATAATCCAAAATGTATTTTATTTCTTAGGCGCTGCAGAAACGCAATGGAATTACATTACGGGGCTTAATCATGTTTTATCCACGATGATTGTGTGAGTGTGTTTCAGTCTTTAAAGCTAATGAATGAAAACGTGATTATGCTTCTTTAAGAGCCCTCAATGATCTCAATTTATGACCTTTTTTGACAATTCAACAAGTTTCTTTATTATGTTTTATGTGTTGGCTGTTTTTAATCAGACACCAGGAGAAACTAGTATTGTAAAACACATATATAAGAACTACAGGAGAAAGTGTGTGAGACAAGGAGGTGGGGGGTACACAGAAGTTATCTGCTCAACAGATGTTTACAAATTAAGTGACAAATGATTTCAAACCTTTCACTCTTTTCTAATAAGACATCTTATTTTGGAACCTCATGTGATTCTGTTAATGCGGATAAAGGGAAATTATTTAAACTAACATCTGGGAAATAAAGAGAGAAGAGAGAGAGAGAGAGAGAGAGAGAGAGAGAGAGAGAGAGAGAGAGAGAGAGAGAGAGAGAGAGAGAGAGAGAGAGACAAGGAAAGATAAGGAAGGTAAGAGCACAAATAAACTCAAGGGAGGGAAAGAAAAAGTGTGTGTGTGTGTGTGTGTGTGTGTGTGTGGGAGATGAAGGGGGAAAACTACTCACTCCAGAATACTAACAAGGGCCTTTTGTCACAGACCTCTCTCTTCCTCCCTCCCTTCTTTTCACTCATCTCTCACACAAATCTTTTACAAATAATTGCACACAAACACATGCACACATGTAAGCCTTCAGTCACACACACACACACACACACACACACACACACACACACACACACACACACACACACACACACACACACACACACACATTCGTAGAAATACTTTTGTAATTGTAATCCCACTCTCACATAATCACACACACACACAGATGGATACAGAGTCGTTTTTGTCAATGGCGTCTTTTGTCTCCTTCATCTCGGCTGCTAACAAAGCATTCCTGTGTACAGAGAGGAGAGAGGGAAGGAAGCAAAGAGAGAGAAAGAGGAAAGGGAGAAAAAAGTGAAAGACTAGGGAGAGTGAGAGATCAGGAAAACATGCAGCGCTCCTTTTTTTGGCAAAATAAAAAGTTTTGATTCAGTTTTTGGATTCGGCTCAGTACAGTGAGGTTGTTGCCATGGATATGGAATACATCCTACTCGAGAGGTGGGTTTAAAATATTTCCCTCTCATTTCCTCACATTATCTGATGTGTGATTGTAGTTATTATTTTCCCGTTCTGGGAATGTGAGATTGGATGAGAAGGCGATGCACCGATGAAAGAGACGTTTTCAATGGTGTCTTTGTGGTTATGAAACTTTTGAGAGGCTCACCCTTGCATAATCACCAACGTGTGATGTAATTAAAGCTGTTATGCAAAGCGAGGTCAGCATTGTATAGAAGTCATTTTGATTAACACCATGCATGGCCAGATGTACGAGGACATCCCTGACTTTGGGTTGTTTTCTCAGCTTGTTTTGTTTTTGATCCATAGAGTTTTATTTTGCGAATACTTTTGTTCTTAAGTACAATTTTGAATGCGGAACGTATTTCTTCACTGTGGTATTACACAACTACTACTTCTACTTTCCATCTATTTTCTCAACTCTGCATGCACCAAAGTGCAACAGGTCGGTTTGACCTCCGGATTTGGATCATCATCATCATCATCATCATCATCATCAACATCATGATGTGGCTGAATGGGAGCAAAATACAGTCGTGAGCCGGGCATTCAGAGAGCAACACTTTGGCTCTTTTCCTGCCAAACTCTTCCTGCTGTCTAAAGTTACCAGTCAGAAGTTCACTCTTTGTCCACTAAAGGCCTCTCTGGTCTGAATCAACAGTTAAGCCTTAACAAAAAACGTTATCTAGATAAACGACAAAGATTTCTAACCTTAATTTATTCATTAAAGTTCTCCTCTTTTCTCCGGATGACAAATGAGACTCTGTGAGGAGGGGCTGTTGCGTTAATGCAGTGCATCTTCAGCCTAATTCGACTGTTTCTCCTTTTTCTCTTTCCCTCTCTTGTGGGTTATCTTCTGCTTACTGGCCTGCATGCTTTATCGGACGTAAGTGAGCGTATCAGATGTTCAGACTTACAGTAACTGTCTGTGTGTGACGGGTGAAACTGCATCTGCATGTACTGAAAGGGCACACATGAAAACATCCCACAGTGTCAAGCACTAAAAACACACTGTAAGATATTTATATGTATGAATATGTGCAGTTTTTAAGACAATAACACACTGGTTTGTCCTGTGAAAATAGCTCAGAATCCACCCTGCACTATCCCTAATGCACTTTAATAATCTTTATTCTAGCAGTAGGCCTAATGGTTCCCCTTTTTTGTTGTTGTTTGTTGTGTCTTCCTGGTCGAATGTACTTATTGTAAGTCGCTTTGGATAAAAGCGTCAGCTAAATGCAATGTAATGTAATGTAATGTAATGTCATTTTAAGATCAAAAAGATATCAACTGAACAGGAACAGCTTTTCGTTGGTGTTCACACTTGATATCAAGTGTTTCTTCCTGTATTCATGACACCACAATCTTCTACTGAAACACAGACAGACAGAGGCTGTAATCATAAACACACTAATTGTAAGATGGATAAAAGTTCAGGTTCTTAGTTTTTGTTTAATCCTCAAACACTCAAGTCAAGTATAAAATATGCTAATGGCTATCATGCTAAAAGTCTCCCAGTGACATCCACAGTATAACTTACCATCTCATCCTCTCAGTTAGCCTGTTAGCTAACATGTGCTAATGACCAGTTATCATTAGTAAATATGTTGCTAATGGGAATGTCCTTATTCCTCATTGGATAAATGCAATCTGAGACCTGAGAAAGGAACTTAGAAAACAAGGGGATCATTGAAGTGATTAGGATTCAGCATCTGGGGACAATGAACACTATTTAAGAGCAATTCATCTAAAAGCAATTCATCTAAAAGTTTTCAAGATATTTCCTAAATGAACCTGGTGGAACACCTGAACACCGACTAGTGTTGCTCAAAACCACTAGTATCGTTCAGTACACACACTATTTCCTTTCCTGTCTCACTTTCTGGTTTCATTTTGAATCATTTTGATCTACGTGCTGTTAACGGCTGCAAACTACACGTGGTATAAAATGTGTGCAAAAGGAGAAACACAAGTTTAGACATAGGGTATGTACTCTAAAGAAACCTTGGCTGTAAAAGCAGTAGTTTCTTCATACTGTATTTGTGTTCTCCATTCGGCAAACTGTGTGAAATGTTGACAACCACATTTGGAAATGCCTTTTTATCTTATCTGTTCAGAATCATAAAAAAACTACCCACTTCTTTATTATTCAACTCCCCATGGCACAATTGTGTGTTTTAGCAGCTTATGTAATTTATTCTAATGATCTTTCCACTGAGGGAAGACTGAAGGCTTGCTTTATACAAATTAAAAAGCGTTGGAAATCCCCCCAAACCCACCTCTCACCATGATGCAAAAGAGAGACGATGTGTACACTTCCGAAACCAACGATATAAACAAACAACTAACCCACTTTTAGCAGCAACTTCTCTCTTTCGTTTCTTCTATGTGACACAAAGCTGTAGCTCTGAGCGTTGCACTATAGTAGCTATATTGTTTAAGCATAACTTAATTTGTTTTGGGGTTGTTTGCCTTAAAAAACACTTGTCTCAGGATGCTTGAAGCAGCTGTGGGTCATCTTCGACACCTGATATTCTCGATTGAAGCTACTGACAGGATGCCTTTGATCTATTTAAGAAGGGACAATGCACATTATTCAAAATGAGCACTTGAGTTCATCATGTAAATGAGTATGCATTGAGTATGTTTCCTACAAATGGCAGGGTTTCAGGAACACTTCCAAAATCACAACGTGGGGTAAAACACACCGCGCACTCACACAAGGGTTTTTACCTGTTTGGGAAACTCCATTGACTTTATGCAAAGTGAGAATAGGGATACAGGATAGGAACATATTATTACAATACAATACAACGGGGCTTTATTGGCATGACCACAACAAATATACTTTCTGTTCTCAGGAAGATTACAAGCTAGAACAGTTTTATATAAGCTTCTTGTTTCTATCAAGTCGAGCCTGAAGCAATGGTTTTGGAGGCTGGGGTCCAATTGATGAGACATAAGTACACACCTCTGTAGACCGTAATATCATGCCTGAAAGATGTGGTGACCTTAGGAAACTTCCAATCAAGTTTCACCAAATTTAACAGAACATTGTAGCAAAAACGTAGAAGACACTTGAGTCCGTGTGCACGGCCTCTCAGGATTGCTTTGCCTATTAAACCTGCTTTATAATTCAACGTTACAGTTTCATGTTGACTTGCATGCTTGTTCTTTTTCTTTGATTTGCAACATATTTTTGATATTATCAATCACATGTTTCATTCAAAGTGTTCATTTGAGATGAGAGCTGTGAGAGTGAGAGCAGGTGCGTGTAGGGGAAGTTAGAAAACTAAAACAGTCATCATGCTACAGGATATCACACACACTGTATCAGATCATGAGGTTCTGCTGATGTTGAGAACACTGCAAGATGTTATAGAAAAGTTTTCATCGTAGAGACATTCTACCCCAAATCATCTCAAAAGAGCCTATACGCACTGGCCAGTTAGAAATGTTATTATCAAGAGAAATGATTTACTAGTCTTTCTTTGTTGTTCCCCAGATGACATCTGCCTCACCTCCTTCCTCTCGTAGCTCCTCTCCTCAGAATGTGTGCCACTCCCAGACACAGACAGATGTTTTAAAACCCTTACTGGGTGGCGGCGTATCCGGTGCGGGCGGGACTCTGAGGAAGAGGAGACGCGTCCTGTCCAAAGATGGACGAAGCAACGTGCGCATCGAGCACGTCAGCGGGCGAAGTGCTCTGTACATGCGTGACCTCTGGACAACTTTTCTGGACATGCAGTGGCGCTACAAGTTATTCTTGTTCACGGCTACGTTTGCAGGGACCTGGTTCCTGTTCGGGGTGCTGTGGTATCTGTTGGCACTGGTGCACGAAGACCTACTTGGTGAGAATGGGGGGGACTAAGGTTTAATGGGTACTTCCATGTGTCTTCCCAGAGAAACATATTTAGGTCATTTAGGTCAAGACCAAATTTCAGTTTATATTCCACATGGTAACTTGTTGCCAAACATCTGTTCATGTGACTTTGGACATGATAGCATGAACAGACAGTGCATTAAACATCTCGAGCGTCCTTCACACAAAATAAAAAGCACACAGCTCTGAGAAGTGGGCGTCAATTAGAGTGGTGTAAAGTAAAGTGTGATATTATCAGCAGGAGGTGTTGAAGTCGGTGTCTGGAAAACATGACATTTAACGATCTATAATCTCTATATCCTTGTATGCACTTGCATTGGGGGTGAGTGTTATTTCTTATAGTGTTGTAAAGACATGAGGTTGTTGATGCAAATTGCATTTCCTGGGCCTAGTCTTGAGCTTAAACTAAACTAAAATTAGACATTAAACATCTGCATATCTCAAATATGCTCACCCCCACTTCCTCTAAATATCACTTCTTCTTACGCTTGCTCAACTTACCGGCATACAAGTTATAAAAAGTACTGTAATGACAAATAGCAATAGCATATTTTCAAGGCAGACACTTGTTTACTCTTCCCTCGAAATGTATAGTTTTTAAGACATAACAATGGCCAGTGTTAGCGTACAGAGTTAGAGAACAAAACAAAAACACAATATCACAAAAATAACTTTGTATATTTCCCCAGAATTCGACCCTCCATCAAATCACACACCCTGTGTGATGCAGGTGCAAACCCTGACGGGGGCTTTCCTCTTCTCCCTGGAGACCCAGACCACCATTGGTTATGGTTTTCGATGCATCACTGAGGAATGTCCAGTAGCCATCATCCTCCTCATCGTCCAGCTGGTGCTCACTATGCTGATGGAGATCTTCATCACCGGTACCTTCCTAGCCAAGGTAGCCAATGCGTAAATATTTAACTGCCAAGTATTGTATATTTACATAGAACTTTGCTGTTTTCTTAATAATTGCTGCAAAAAGTGAAAGAGAATGAGTTTTTCTCCAATAAAAAGCACTTTGAAGTTTTTGAAGCACAACTGCAGGCAATTCTTGAACAGGCATTCATCTGTTCCTATGTTGAGCGCAAAACTCCTCAACAAGTTTTATCAAAGATGATCTGACTAAAACCTGAATGTATTGACCTGTCCCTGCTTAGATTGCACGGCCAAAGAAGCGAGGGGAGACGGTGAAGTTTAGCCAGCATGCTGTGGTGTCGACCCACGAAGGGCGACCCTGCCTGATGATCCGGGTGGCCAACATGCGCAAGAGTCTCCTGCTCGGGTGTCAGGTAAATGTGCATTGAGACAGAGTACACTGTAGATGAACAGATATTAAAGATCTCCTCATGCTATTTTCAGGCATATATTATGGGTCTCAGATATGTACAAATACATAAAAAACATGTCTATGATGTGTTTTGCTCAAAATAGTACAGGTTAGCTCTGAGTGTTAGTAATGCTTGCTAATGTAAACTGTAGAGACCATATTACGTCCAACATACGTCTGGCATTGTTTCTGATAGGGCCGTGGGTGAAAGCCAGCCCACATTTACGATATTACGTCATATCGGAAGCAAATATGGATCAGCTCCATTTTCCCCCCGTTTTTAGAGATTTGGGTACGGAGGAAAAGAGAGAGGGTTTTGTTTTCTGACACTTTGTGAGTTCCCTGACTCACCGGGGACACATATCTATGTATAAAAGACATCAAAAAGTGCATTTTGCATGGTAGGAGACCTTTAATACAACTTCTACTATAAATGTAAGGATGTGTACGAACAATTTGTCAAACTTTGACCAACTCTCCCAGGTGACTGGAAAACTGCTCCAGACTTCTCTGACCAAGGAAGGCGAGACAGTTCGTCTGGACCAGAGGAACGTGCCCTTTGAAGTGGACATGTCCAGCGACAGCCCCTTCCTCATCCTGCCCCTCACCTTCTATCACATCATAGATGAAAACAGCCCGCTGAGAGCCTGGGCAGCCAAGGGTAAGTTTATCTCAATCTTGACACCCATTGGCTGAGTTTTGAGAGTTCTGTCAGGGTTTGAGTTTTGTGTGTCTAGTTTTGGAGTTATTTTGCTGTTCTGTCCTCCCTGTCGTTAGTTTCCCTGGTGTGTCTGATTGTCTGATTGTGTTCACCTGTTGCCCTTGTGTTTCTCCTTCCCTGCCCGGCTGTGTCTCGTCTCATGATTACCCCTCCCTGTATTTAGTCTTGTCTCTTCCTGTGTTCGGTGTCAGTTCTTTGTTTATTTTTCCCGTCTCCCTCCATGTCAGTCATCGTCAGCTTTTTGTATGGTATCTTCCTTGTGCTTCCTTTGTGTTTTTTGCCATGTTTTTGCCCTCAGCTTTTAAAATAAAGCTCGCTTTTGTTTTCTAGACCAACTTTTTTTGTAGTCTGCATTTGGGTCCTACCTTTCCAAAACCGTAACAGAATGAACCGACCGTCTCAAGTCTCCTCTCAAGTTCCTTCTCAAGTCCCCTCTCGAGTCTCTTCTCGAGTCCCCTCTCTAGTCCCCTCTCAAGTCCCCTCTCGAGTCACCTCTCAAGTCCCCTCTCAAGTTACCTCTCAAGCTCCCTTTCGAGTCCCCTTTCAAGTCGTCTCTCAATTCTCCACTCAAGTCCCCTCTCACGTTTCTTCTCAGGTCCCCTCTCGAGTCTCTTCTCGAGTCACCTCTCAAGTCTCCTCTCGAGTTCCCTCTCAAGTCTCCTCTCGAGTTCCCTCTCAAGCCTCCTCTCGAGTCTCCTCTCGAGTCCCCTCTCAAGTTCCTTCTCAAGTCCCCTCTTGAGTCTCTTCTCGAGTCCCTTCTCGACTCCCCCCTCGAGTCCCCTCTCGAGTCTCCTCTCAAGTCCCCTCTCGAGTCACCTCTCAAGTCCCCTCTCAAGTCACCTCTCAAGTTCCGTCTCGAGTCCCCTTTCAAGTCATCTCTCAAGTCTCCTCTCGAGTCTCCTCTCGAGTCCCCTCTCAAGTTCCTTCTCAGGTCCCCTCTCGAGTCTCTTCTCGAGTCACCTCTCAAGTCTCCTCTCGAGTTCCCTCTCAAGCCTCCTCTAGAGTCTCCTCTCGAGTCCCCTCTCAAGTTCCTCTCGAGTTTCCTCTGGAGTCCTCTTTCAAGTCATCTCTCGAGTTCCCTCTCAAGTCACCTCTCAAGTCTCCTCTCGAGTTCCCTCTCGAGTCTCCTCTCAAGTCCCCTTTCAAGTCACCTCTTGAGTCCCCTCTCAAGTCCCTACCCAATGTCCTGGTCCGTTGGAGGTTCCTCTGGGGGTCCTGCCAACTCCATGTCCTGTCCCATTGGGGGTCCCGCAGACTACTCTTCTGCCAGGGGTCCAGCCAACCCTATGTCCTTTGCCGTTGGAGGTCCCGCCGACTACTCTTCTGCCGGGGGTCCTGCCAACCCTATGTCCTGTGCCGTTGGAGGTCCCGCCGACTACTCTTCTGCCGGGGGTCCTGCCAACCCTATGTCCTGTGCCGTTGGAGGTCCCGCCGACTACTCTTCTGCCGGGGGTCCTGCCAACTCTATGTCCTGTGCCGTTGGAGGTCCAGCCGACACCTGTTTCGTCGGGGGTCCTACCAACTCCATGTCCTGTTCTGTTTGGGGTCCCACTGACACCAGCCCATGTTCCATCCAGGGTCCCGTCTACGCCTGACCCGCCAGGGGTTCCACCAGCTCCTGCCTGTCCTTGTGCCCGGCCCCTGAGTTCCCCAGCCGTGGTCTTTGCCCTCGAGCCAGGCCCCCTGACTTTTCAAACTCTGCCTTGCCCCCGGGCCGTCCGCCCGAGACCCCCTCCATGGACTCTGCCTTGCCCCCGGGCCGTCCGCCCGAGACCCCCACCATGGACTCTGCCTTGCCCCCGGGCCGTCCGCCCGAGAACCCCTCAATGAACTTTGCCTTTCCTGGGCTGTCGATCCAGACCCGTCCTCCGGACCTCCTGAAATATGTTTCAGCATTACTACGTCGAAAACTGTTCCAATACAAATATTTCTTATATCAATATTTTAAAAAGGTAGGACACTGGTTAATAATAGTGTAACGTGTTCAAGTAACCAAGGGATATAGTAGTTATCAAATAAGTATAAGATGTGCACAGTTATGTAATGCACTGTTGTTGGGGGGAGAGACCGCTGCTTCCATATGAGTGTGAGTGTACGGCAGGCATGGAAAAGTCATATTCAGTGCGGTTTATTGCTACTGTATCCGTAGCACCCCACGCAATAGTTGGGACTGTGTACTGACGTCAGTAAAAATGTTTTGCCCCCCCAAGCGCAAATGTCAAACTCCGCAGGGGCTTTATTTCAGGTGTTCAATACTACTGGGACCATGGGCGTCACAGCCATTATATGATTAGTTTAGACCCCCCCACTTTTACCATGTGGAATGTCCGTGCATCGGTCTCTCCACTCGCCGCTCTTTGTAGAGCGCTGTGTCAGTGCTTCATTATCAAATCCATTCCACTTGCTTATTGTGAGAATAGGGTTAGGTTCAGCCTCCTGACAGCCTGGTGTTCTTTTGTCTGGTTGTGCTCGACATCAGGCTGCGGAATCTCCTCCCTGAAGGCTGGAGGGTGAAGAGGCAGTTGGAGGGATGAGTGGGGTCACCCACAATGCTGAGTGCCCTGCGGGTGAGGCGGGTCTTGTAAATGTCCAGGAGTGATGGGAGTGAGGCACCGAGTTGCAACCTTCCCTGTCCATTGATTTTTACTAGGAATTTGTATCACCTGTATCAAGATACAAACAAAATGTGGACCTGCTTTTACCAACGTTACTCTTATTACCACTGGTGGTCCAGAGTGGGCCTTTACATTTTGTATTTATCATGAATCTTGTGTTCCTCTCTTTCATTTTTCATTTTGCCTCCAGGTGGGGGCTGGACAGATCCAGAGCTGGCGGACTTTGAGCTGTTGGTGATCATGAGTGCAACAGTTGAACCGACCTCCGCTACCTGCCAGGTGCGCACCTCCTACCTGCCGGATGAGATTCTGTGGGGTTATGAGTTCCCCCCTGTCGTCTCTCTCTCTCCATCAGGCAAATACGTAGCGGACTTCTCCTTCTTCGACAAAGTGGCCAAGACGAAGACCACGCCCATCTTCAAACCCTCCAGCCCCCAGCCTGGGTACCAGTGCAACGGGGGCGGGGCCGCGCCTGAGGTGTCTGATCCGGAGAAGATTCGCCTGGAGCAGAGCTACAGGGAGAGAGGAGAGGAACGTGGCCGAGCCAGAGACACTCCTCTCAGTGTTCGCATCAGCAACGTGTGAACAGATGAAACTATTTGAAAAGACAGAGTTCAATGTCAGAAGCAAATGAATGAAAACAACATATCACCTTTTGAAATCAAGGTTTTTTGGTAGCAACAGAACCTGCAGAAAGGAAAACATGAAAGACTGTGGACTGCTGTGGTCAACTTTAAGCTCGTCATGCTGTGATGATACATGTTTTACACTGGGTTGACTTTACTCAGATTACAGCATAACACACTGCCTAACTACAGCTACTGTATATTAATACTGTATATTACTAACTAAGAACAGAACAGGTTGGATTATACATTAGCAGAGAAAAACACAAAATGACAGAACAGTATGTTGAGAGGTGAGACAGGGTGAACCTTTGAAAAAACAAGAATAATACACTCGTGTAATCGCTAAACATTTATAAAAAGTCTTGAGTTTCATCTCTGTTTTTTATTATTAGTATAAAAAACACCAATGAGTAATTCTGAACCGGTAAAGCAGAAATCCCCCTGAACTCCCTGAACTCCCTGAACTCCCTAAACTCCCACAACACTGTCATGAAAATGTTATGAAAAATACAGAAATACTTGAGAAAATACACAAACAAAATACCACTTGCTGTAATAGGTTAGATAAAGCACTTTCTGTTGAGATGATGGAGCACAACTGTAATGTAAACCCATTTCAGATTGAATATTTAGTGTACATAATGCTCTGTATCTGTTGATGGTCGGGGCATTTATTTGTTGCTGTTATTGACAGAGTTAGCACTTTATATAAGTACATGATGTACATTTGCACCTTAGAAAGATTAGCTTTGGAATATATGATTGTTATTACGACTAAAAGCACATACAAATTAAATATCTAGAGTTTTAAAGTAGTCAGAAAATACTTATATAAATGTAAATGCTTCCTTCCTGCTAAGCTAACTGGAATTACAGTTTCTCTGTCTCAGTGACTTTAGAAAAACTGACATGTGAATGAGATGACGTTTGAAGATAAGGACATCATAAACCAACCAGCCTAACAATGAAACCTGGTTACAACTTAAAGGGTTCAAAGTCTGAAGCCTGCATGGGGAAGAGAGGGCAAATAAAAAATGAGTGTGTGTGATATAAACTCTCTCTGGAGGGATTATTTGCAGACCATTTACATGCACACACCTATAACAAATGAAAAGGGAAAACCATCAAAAGCATAATAGGGCCTCTTTAATGCGAGTTATACAGTAAAATGAAAATCCAATGTAATTCAAAAAGGCAACCATATATCCAAGGAAAGAAATGCTTTAAAATAAAGAAGTCAAGGAGGGAAAAATGCTCCGGCTCTGACCTGGTTTGCTGCTCCATCTTTATGGTCCTCAGACTCATCCTGCTTCAATGCTTGTTCAGCTTCCTTCTTCCTCCTCTCTCTCCAAACACATCCCTCTTCCTTCTTTCCCAAGGCCACGCCCCCTTCCACCCAGTGGCAGACAGGTTGTTGTAGGTTGCAAATGTGACTGTCAGCATTGTAAGCTTGCCTTTCCCTGGGATTTATGATTTACTAACTTTATCAAACTAATAGGGAACACTTTTTCGTAGCCCTTTTACATTTTTCAGAGGTGAGTGCAGAGAATGTGAAAGTTATGTTGTATGTGAGTCTGTGACTGAAAATGATTTTATTCTGATGGGAATGTGTGCCATTAATGAGGATGAATATTATGACTATGTTGGAAATTGAATGTAAATGTTAAATTGTATTGAATTAACATCGAGCCCTGGAATGTAAATAGTGTTTAAGAGAGAGGAAAATAGATGAACCTCTAAAAAAAGTGCTTTAATAAAGCTGGTTATGTGTTTTAAAGGCAAAGTCGAATCATGTCATGGAAAGCAAATATGGACACAGGCGGATTTCAAAGAAATTAGCAATAAAGCTTTGCTGAGAGGAAACTGACAAAACGCTGTGACTTTCTGCATACAGGACAGCAGAAAGCTTACACACCTTCCGGCGCAGACTGAAAACTCATCTCTTTCGACTCCACCTCGAGCAATAGAATTATTAACAAAGCACTTATATACTAATAAAGGACTGGCTTATCTAAAGCCAGTTGAGTAGCACTTGAAATGTTTGGCTCTATGAAACCTGATGTACTTATATGATTCTGTTTTCTTCAAGGTTGTGTCTTCCTGGTCGAACGTACTTATTGTAAGTCGCTTTGGATAAAAGCGTCAGCTAAATGCAATGTAATGTAATACAGCACATTTGCAGAATGAAGTTGTTTGTTTCAGTTCTCTTTGTCGTTTATGAGCTTTATTTTATGTGAATCACAAGGTAAGAACATCAACTTGATTTGTTTTCACAGTCAAAGTTGTTGTATTGTAGCACTACTTAAACAATATAAGATTAGGTTAGCTCTGAGTGTTATCAATGCTTGCTAATGTAAACAAAGACTATATTACGTCCAAAATACGTCGGGCATTGTTTCTGATAGCAACGTTTCTGATAGGGCCGTGGGTGTAAAGCCAGCCCACATTTCCGATATTACGTCATATCGGACACAAATCTGGATCAGCTCCGTTGTTCCCCCGTTTTTAGAGATTTGGGTACGGAGGAAAAGAGAGAGGGTTTTATTTTCTGACACTTTGTGAGTTCCCTGAGACACCGTGGACACATCTTTATGTATAAAAGACATCAAGTCAAAGTCAACTTTAATGTAAATCTTTCTGTGTGTTTGTACAGACAGAGAGATTGAAAATATCATTTCCAACAATCCCGAATACAAAAATACAATAATACAAATATACAAATGCGTATACAAATATGTATAGGCTATCCTATATATATATACAATCAACAGACACAAGTGCATTTTGCATGGAAGGAAACCTTTGATACAACTTCTACTATAAATGTAAGGATGTGTACGAACAATTTGTCAAACTTTGACCAACTCTCCCAGGTGACTGGAAAACTGCTCCAGACTTCTCTGACCAAGGAAGGCGAGACAGTTCGTCTGGACCAGAGGAACGTTCCCTTTGAAGTGGACATGTCCAGCGACAGCCCCTTCCTCATCCTGCCACTCGCCTTCTATCACATCATAGATGAAAACAGCCCGCTGAGAGCCTGGGCAGCCAAGGGTACGTTTATCTCAATCTTGGCCCCCATTGGCTGAGTTTTGAGAGTTCTGAGAATATTTAGCCTCTTGGGTCAAGGGGCTTTATTTCAGGTGATCAATACTACTGGGACTGCAAATGGAAACCAGATTGCTTCAATACCTTGATCTTGTCTGGCCGTTGCCTGCAGTTATAGAGATAACATTACTTAGAAATCATGTGACAGAATGCATTTCCGCTTTTCAGTGTTTGGTGAGCTAAAATGATATGATAAGATTACATTTAGCTTGAGTCTTAACTTGCTGTAAATTGAGATGACCTTCCATTTGTAATCTCACTTTATTTGTAAAATAAAGAGAGGCAAAACTTATTGTTTTTTTTCTCATTTTAACTTCCAACCTTTGTACCTACCAGCTTTATCTCTTACCAATACCAACTTTCCTTAGTCAAAGTCAAAGTCAGTCGAAGTCAACTTTAATGTACATTTTTCTGTGTGTTTGTACAGACAGAGGTCGAAATAATGTTTCCAACAATCCCGCAAAAATACAAAATATAATAATATAAATATACAAATATGTATAATTATGTATATCCTCTATATATACAATCAACAGACACATTTACACATATGCACACATTAAAATAAAACACAACAATCAATATATACAAACAGGGACGCGGGAAGACAGTCAGAGTTGGGGCTGCGGCGTGCGGGTGAGGTGGGAGGGGGATTAATTTTTAAATATTGAAGTTAAAAGCATCAATCTGGTGCATTTAGAGCAAAATTAAGAGATCTATGGATAACTGTTTTCAATGTATTCTCTCTGGCTGTCCATCTCATAATGTACACATAGAAACTAGCTGTCAATAGGAATATAATTCAGAAGAATTATAATATCATGCAAAAATCTGTCTCAAAAAGAGGTTGCACATTTGAATTCAGGTGTTGTTATGGCAACGTCAGTGGCTAAACAGCCACATGTACTGCTGCAAATACGTTCAAACATGCTGTCGGCATGTAAAGCAGTGGCAACTATGCCACCATTTCAGCTGACTTTTTCTCAGAAATACTGTCACATAACATCCATATATTTCAGTGCTAGGTTGATGCTTAGCTAAGCTAACTATGAAACACTTTAACTGACAGGACTCTGGATCAACGGTGTACTGTAAGGTAGCTTCATGTCGAACAGTCAACATTTTCCAGAGAGCTTTCTTTGAAATCACCAGGTAACGCTAAAAAACATTACATTTAGAATGTATGACAAAGTGTTTATTTAATATCTCTGGCTAGCTATAGCTACTTGCTAACGGTATAGCTTACCCCCGCGATTCAAAGTAACGTCAACGTAGCTGTAATTTATGCTTTGCTTACATGTTCGCATAACTTGGAAGTTACTGACATTTACATACCTTGTTTACCTGGCTCAAGTAGTGGCTCTGGGGTTGTTGTGTGAGCCACCACTTGAGAATTGTCGTATTTTTTAAGAAAACATTTTCTTATGTCCATCTTCAAAAACTCTGAGTCCGACTGACAGTTTAAACATTGTCACAGGATAGGTACCTGTCAGCCAATAAGACACGTTTATTTCCATGCAACTCTCTGGTTGATCTGGTGTCTTGCCTCTGTTGCATTCACTGAACACGAGAAATTACAATTCTGCCGTCCTCTCATGATGAGGTTCAGGTAAAGCACGGTTAATGTATTATATTATTAAGGGAGAATTGTCCGGGGCTACAGAAAAAACATTCGAGGCTTTGGTAGTGTATAATAACGTCATATTAAATGCAGTCATTTGGTATAGCAACAGCTTTTGAGAGCAGTGCATTCATCGGTGTTCGTTTTAATGCTGCCAGTTTGTTGACGGCCTGTGTGTTGATGGGACTTCTCATGCTCCCTAAATGTTTCCCCTGCTTTTCGCCAGTTCTTAAATCCTCCTTTCACAAAACTCCCATCTCTGATCTTGTCTGCACTGAAACAGAAGAAGCACACTGCATTAGCACTTTCTCTTATTATTTAGTGAAGCTTTTTATAGACTGCTTACACTAAAATGCTAACTCAAAAATAGTAACTCAAAGTAAAACTTTTGTATTGATTTGTTTAGTGAACTTTTTGGCGTTGCAGTTACAACTTTCCGCCAACAGATGGGGGTGCTGCAGCCCCCTCAGCACCCCCCCTTCCCACGTCCCTGTATACAAAATATCAAAAATAACGGTCACTTAAATATGTTAGGGAATGTACATAGTGCAAGATTGTCCATAGCACCCTTATTGATCTGTGCAATACCATGAAGCCATTGGCAGGACTCCTGTATCAAGATACAAACAAAATGTGGACCTGCTTTTACCAACATTACTCTTAATTAGGGCTGTCAAACGATTAAAAAATGTAATCAGATTAATCACAGTTTAAAAATTAATTAATCATGATTAATCACCATTCGAACTATTTTCCAAAATATGCCATTTATTTATGTATATTGTTGTGGGAATGGAAAGAAGGCGGATATATCCATTTAACATACAGTATCTAGGCCTATGTTTATTATAACATTTTCTGCGTGTCAAAATGAAAGACAACCCACACACCTATCAATCATCAAACCGTGGGGTCTTAATTCATTACGTGTTGATTTCTATCAACGGGGGAGTACTTCAGGAAAGTCGACGGAGGGGGGGGGGGGGGGGGGGGCGGCGGCTCGTGGAGTACTTCTTGACCACAGAGTGTGAACGTTGTGATCAGCTGTTTTAGCGCAGTTCTCCAGTGAAGGGGGGGAGGGGGAGAGAGTCTCCCTCCGCAGCCGGTTGGCGTAGTTTTGGCACAATTCCGTTGTACAGACCGACATTAACAGCAGCCCTGTCTGTGCACACGGAGACCGACTCTGTCGTCCGGTGATCTAACCGCCTTCTGGAAAAGCTTCACAAGTACGTCGGTACGCAAATGCGCTTTGTGACACAAGTGACGGTACGCATTTCAGATTACGCACATAACCTGCGTACCAGTTATGTGCACCCCTGTACTACAGCAAAAGTATTCTCCGTCGGGAGTCGGGACTTCCTGCAACAACACCACGCCGTTATCAAAGATGTTCTATTGAGAATGTTACTAACTGCTGTCTGTGCAATTTACCCCGCGCGAGTTGGCAGACTTTATTTTGCTTACTTTAACATCATTTTTCATGGTGGGGCTAAGCCATTTCTTGGTATGGGTGTAGCCTACCCCAGCCATACCCTGGCGCTGCCACTGGTGGCACGTATGGGGCGGGCCATTCTGCACATGCGTTAAATGCGTTAAATATTTTAATTTTTAACGCAATTCATTCAAAAAATTAATTACCGCCGTTAACGCGATAATTTTGACAGCACTACTCTTAATACCACTGGTGGTCCAGAGTGGGCCTTTAAGTTGTGTATTTATCATGAATCTTGCTTTCCTTTCTTTCATTTTGCCTCCAGGTGGGGGCTGGACAGATCCAGAGCTGGCGGACTTTGAGCTGTTGGTGATCATGAGTGCAACAGTTGAACCGACCTCCGCTACCTGCCAGGTGCGCACCTCCTACCTGCCGGATGAGATTCTGTGGGGTTATGAGTTCCCCCCTGTCGTCTCTCTCTCTCCATCAGGCAAATACGTAGCGGACTTCTCCTTCTTCGACAAGGTGGCCAAGACGAAGACTACGCCCATCTTCAAACCCTCCAGCCCCCAGCCTGGGTACCAGTGCAACGGGGGCGGGGCCGCGCCTGAGGTGTCTGATCCGGAGAAGATTCGCCTGGAGCAGAGCTACAGGGAGAGAGGAGAGGAACGTGGCCGAGCCAGAGACACTCCTCTCAGTGTTCGCATCAGCAACGTGTGAACAGATGAAACTATTTGAAAAGACAGAGTTCAATGTCAGAAGCAAATGAATGAAAACAACATATCACCTTTTGAAATCAAGGTTTTTTGGTAGCAACAGAACCTGCAGAAAGGAAAACATGAAAGACTGTTGACTGCTGTGGTCAACTTCAAGCTATGCAGTACCTTTGCTGAGATGATACATGTTTTACACTGGGTTGACTTTACTCAGATTACAGCATAACACACTGCCTAACTACAGCTACTGTATATTAATACTGTATATAACTAACTAAGAACAGAACAGGTTAGACTATACATTAGCAGAGAAAAACACAAAATGACAGAACAGTACGTTGAGAGGTGAGACAGGGTGAACCTTTGAAAAAACAAGAATAATACACTCGTGTAATCGCTAAACATTTATAAAAAGTCTTGAGTTTCATCTCAGTTTTTATTATTAGTATAAAAAACACCAATGAGTAATTCTGAACCGGTAAAGCAGAAATCCCCCTGAACTCCCTGAACTCCCTGAACTCCCTAAACTCCCACAACACTGTCATGAAAACTTTATGAAAAATACAGAAATACTTGAGAAAATACACAAACAAAATACCACTTGCTGTAATAGGTTAGGTAAAGCACTTTCTGTTAAGATGATGGAGCACAACTGTAATGTAAACCCATTTCAGATTGAATATTTAGTGTACATAATGCTCTGTATCTGTTGATGGTCGGGGCATTTATTTTTGCTGTTATTGACAGAGTTAGCACTTTATATAAGTACATGATGTACATTTGCACCTTAGGAAGATTAGCTTTGGAATATATGATTGTTATTACGACTAAAAGCACTTGAACATTAAATATCTTGCGTTTTAAAGTAGTCAGAAAATACTTATATAAATATAAATGCGTCCTTCCTACAAAGCCAACTGGAATGACAGTTTCTCTGTCTCAGTAAACTAACTGAGATAACGTGCAAATGAGATGACGTTTGAAGATAATGACATCATAAACCAACCAGCCTAACTTTGAAACCTGGTTTTAACTTACAGGGTTCAAAGTCTGAAGCCTGCATGGGGAAGAGAGGGCAAATAAAAAGCGAGTGTGGAGGGATTATTTGCAGACCATTTGCATGCACAAAAACCTATAACAAATGAAAAGGGAAAACCATCAAAAGCATAATAGGGCCTCTTTAATGCGAGTAATACAGTAAAATGAAAATCCAATGTCATTCAAAAAGGCAACCATATATCCAAGGAAATAAATGCTTTCCAAAAAAGAATTCAAGGAGGGAAAAATGCTCCGGCTCTGGCCTGGTTTACTGCTCCATCCTTATGGTCCTCAGACTCATCCTGCTTCAATGCTTGTTCAGCTTCTTCCTCCTCTCTCTGCAAACAGAGCCCTTTCCACGCCCCCACACTCAGTGGCAGTTTCACATACATGATGTTGACAGGTTATTGTAGATTGCAAATGTGACTGTTAGCATCGAGGAAGCTTGCCTTTCCGTGGGATTTATGATTTAATAACTTTATCAAACTAATAGGGAAACATGTTTCGTAGCCCTTTTTAATTTTTCAGAGGTGAGTGCGGAGAATGTGAAAGTTCTGTTGTATGAGACTGAAAATGATTTTATTCTGATGGGAATGTGTGCCATTATCGAGGGTGAATATAATGACTATGTTGGAAATTGAATGTAAATGTGAAATTGTATTGAATTAACATCGAGCCCTGGAATGTAAATAGTGTTTAAGAGAGAGGAAAATAGATACAAAAAAAGTGCTTTAATAAAGGGGATTTTCTGTTTTAAAGGCAAAGTCGAATCATGTTGAATATGGACACAGGCTGGTTTCAAACATGAGCAATGATCCTTTTCTGAGAGGAAACTGACAAAACGCTGTGATACATTCTGCATACCACACATTTGTAGAATGAAGTCGTTTGTTATACTTCTCTTTGTCGTTTATGAGCTTCATTTATGTGAATCAAAAAGAACATCAACTTGTTTTGTTTTCACAGTCAAAGTTGTTGTATTGTAGCACTACTTAAAAAATATAAGGTTAGAAACGTAATGCTTTTTTTAAACTGATATTTCAAATAGGTAATGTTGGAAATTGAATGTAAATGTTAAATTGTATTGAATTAAGATCGAGTCCTGGAATGTAAATAGTGTTTAAGAGAGATTGCTTTAATAAAGGTGATTTTGTGTTTTAAAGGCTAAGTCGAATCATTTCATGGAAAGACAGGCTGGTGTCAAAGACATCAGCAATGAAGCTTTGCTGATCGGAAACTGACAAAACGCTGTGGCACTTCCTCATCCCACACATTTGCAAAATGAAGTTGTTTGTTTTTGTCTTTGTCGTTTATGAGCTCTATTTATGTGAATCAAAAGGTAAGAACATCAACTTGTTTTGTTTTCACAGTCAAAGTTGTTGTACTTTAGCACTACTTAAACAATATAAGGTTAGAAAGGTAATGTTTTTTTTTTTGAATGTATATTTTAATTAGTATTTAGAAATGTATCCAATCATTAGTTGTCTGTTTATTGTCATTTAATAAAGTAGTAAAATTAGAAATTTTTATTTTTTATTTTAAACAATATTGTGTCGCGGTACGCACTTTTCAGTCCTTTCAAGTAATAGTTTAGATATTTGTATATTTTATGGTCTGGCAGCCAGCATAGTGAACCTGAAAGTGTTGAGTCCAGAGTTTTATGATTGAAATATGTAGTCCACTAAATTGCGTTAATTAAAAATAAATGTACTATATAAACAATAGCTAAAAAAACTCTTGACCGATTTGGAAAATCTTGGATTGGTTTGGCAGTTATTGAGGACGCTGAATCAATTTCTGACCGTTTCAGGATCAAAAGTGGCAGCTTTAACCAGCAAGTGGAAATATGTGTACTCTTGGTGGCTGATTTTGACTACCATGTGTTGCGATCATTGGATATACTGTAGAGAGCACAATTCTCACTCTCACCATCATTGGTGTAGTACTTTGGTATCTTCGAACGAGAAGAACAAGTAAGTCTAAGAGTGCATTTTAACATTTTTGTTTCCTGTGGGAATTAAGTGTTTTATTCAAGTTCATCATATTCCACCTACACATCCCCATTGTCTGTTGAGCAATCACATAAAACATGTCTGAAACCTCTCATACAGCAACATACTCTTTATAATAATCTACATAGGCTTTAAAATGTTCAGCTGTTTGAAAAAGATAATTTAGACACAACCAACATCTGGACTCAATGCAGATGCAGCTCAAGTAATGTACATGTTATGAAGGTAATAAGCATTAAAGGTGAAGCTCTCAAAATGAAATCTAAATTAATGCAATTCCACATTATATTTGTTTTTGACTGACCTGCAGGCAAAAGGGTGAGAGAGGGAAATTATTATTTTTACTTAGGACAATTATTTTTCGAATAAATAGATCATCTGTCCAATCCAAATGAGTCCCCTAAATCTTCAAAATCGACCTGAAATGAATCAAAATCAACTCACAGAGTACAAATATTGGCATATTCCTTATAATTACCCCCAAACAACTGAAAAATTGTCAAAATCAGACAAGACATTTTTTAAAAACTCTTGTCCACATTGGCTAAAATGGTAATTTATTCTAATAATAATAATTATGCTGATTATGCAAATTGACCAACATATGCTAGATAGCATCTGGCAGTTTCTATGTGCTCTGTACCCAAACTACACATTTCTAACATAACACTTCGGTGTTCTCAACATTTCTGTATTCACAATAGGACTCAATGAGCTTGCAACTAGACTTTTAACCTTCAGAGTAGATTAAAAACCTGAGAAGTGGTTTGAGTCAGATTATGACCAAATGTAGAAAAGGAGGAAATGCTTCGCCTCTGTCAAATCTGGGGAACAATAGTATGGGAAAAGAGGGGGAAAAAATAAGCAAGGTGTAAGAAAGTCCCCTCTTTTTCATACGAGACGGAATGGAAATAATTTGTCAGATGAAAAAGAAACATAAATACTTAAAGCAAGATTTAAGTTCAACTAAACTCCTCTAAACAGCTTCAAGGGTCAAAGATAATCCAAGATGTTTTAAAGACATGTTTCAAACTTTGATTATTCATAAGATGAAAGTATTTCATAATTACATATAATAGGAATAGAGAAATATTCAGTTTTGATCCAATAACAATGTAATGTATGTGATATTTACCGTATGATGTGTCTTCTGTTTTACAGGGATCAGTGCTGGGACTCCTGTGTTTGTGCTGAAGGGAGAGGATTTGCTTCTGAATGTCACGGCAGCTGATGCTCTTCAGGATGTTTATAGTTTTTCATGGACATTCAATGAGAAAAAAAAAGTATTAACAGTTGAACCTGGCAAAAAACCACATGTATTTCCTAATTACACTAGAAGGGTTGAGTTTCCTGTGAACAATTTCTCTGTGGAATTGAAGAATCTCCAAGAGGCAGACAGTGGAGTTTATACTGCTGTAGTGACAACGAGTTCAGGAGGCGACACAGAAGCAGCTAAATACAAGATTAAGGTTCAAGGTAGGTTTGTTAACCTCTCAAACACTGATAGTTTCAGTGGTCTTGTTTCTAAAACTCTTCACCTGCTTCTTCCCTCCTCAGATCGAGCGTCTCTCCCTCTCCTCACAGTGAGCTCTGTCTCCAGAAACTCTTCCTCCTGTAGCTTCACTGTGACCTGCAGCTCACAGGACTCTCACATCAACAGCACTTTCAGGTGTGACAACCAAACCTACAGTCAGGAGGGAGGAGAGCGGTCAGAGGGGATCCCTGATACTTTTCTCCAGGTCCACCAATCAAGTGGATCGATCATCTGTAACCATAGCAACCATGTCAGCTGGACCAACACTACCAGAACAATCAAAGATGTCTGCGCCAAACCTTATGGTAAGACTGAAAGAGAAAACTACTTCCTGATAATAACACACAGTTTAGAGTCAGAACATCAGAGCATACAAGGTTTTTTTTATCAAAAACTTTTATGTGTCTGTAAATAAGATATATTTGTATTCCACAGTGTGACAAATATTGTACATTGGGTTTGTTACAAATATTGTAAAATCCATGTATTTGCAGTGCAAATATTGCTAACTATATTTGTCCTCGTCTCAACATGACCTCTTTTAGTGTCCGCTGCTGTGAGCAGTGTTTTTCAGACAGGACAAGAAAACTAGAAGAGTGCATAACACCAAATTAAAAGCTTGTTTTTCTTAATGGTTTCAGTTAAACCTGTATAAAAAAATAAAATGATGAGTTATCTTTCACTTTTCAACTACAATGAAATGTTTTAATTAAGTGTTTTGTAGTTTATGAAACTAAACTGGGAATTAGTCGGTGAAATTGGGGAAGTTTCTGCTCCAGTAATTTGACTATTAAAACTAGCTATCATTATCTACCAGCGTTTCTTTGATTAAACAAGAGCCAGGCAGTGCTTAACTGTGCTTATTCAGTGACCTTTGGAAGTTTCACATTGAACTGAATAACTGTTTTGTTTAACATATTAGGGTTAAAGCAAACAAATGCAATTATTTCTTACAACAGATCAGGTCTGCTACTAAGATATATTTGTGTAATTAAATCTAACAGTCTGGCAGGATGTGAGGCAGTGACACACTTGACTAAGTTTATGAATTTAACCGAGCATTATAATGTGGCTTATGTTTTTATTTACAGATCCTGACCCACCAAACCCTGTTCCCATCATTTTGGGAGTATTGTTCACAATTCTCATTCTCGCCATCATTGGTGTACTTTGGTGTCTTCGAAAGAGAAGAACAAGTAAGTAAGAGTGTATTTTATCAAAAACATTTATTTTTGTTTTACTGTTTGTGGGAATTTAGTGTTTTATTCAAGTTCATCATATTCCATACATCCTCATTGTCTATTGAGCCATCACATAAAACATATCTGAAACCTCTCATCCAGCAACTCTTTATAATATTGTCTTTAAAAGATAATTTAGACACATATACAATATCTGGACTCAAGTCAGATGCAGCTCAAGTAATATAAATCTTATGAAGGTAATAATCTTTAAAGGCGAAGCTCTCAAAATGAAATGTAAATTAATGCAAATCCACATATATTTGTTTTTGACTGACCTGCAGGTAAAAGAGTGATTATCGAGAATACAGTTTATGATACTGCTCAGGTAAGAGACAAGGTATTTTTTACTTTTCACTCAAAAATGTAATTTCTTTTTGATTTTGAACAAATTAAACAGACTTGGACTGAATATGAAGAACAAGCTAAATCCATAACTGGAGCCTCAGACAGTTATATTGCCTACTGTGCACACTAATCACTATGCACACTAATCACTGTGCACACTAATCACTATGCACACTAATCACTATGCACACTAATCACTATGCACACAGAGTATCTGCATATATGTATTTGCTATATACTGTATATTATCCCTGACTCCTTTCTACACCACCGTCTGCCTGCAGTTCCAGGTCCTGCTGCTCACATTTCTGGTTGAGCTGCTTGCTCTTTTAAAGCTTTGGATCCGACTAACCTGATGCACCGTGATGCTTCTCTCCAAACCTGCTGCTGAGTCTCTGTCTGGCAATATCTGTATTCAAACTGCACTGTGTTTCTTAGTGATGCGTATTTGTTTGCTTGTGTGTGTTTTGTTTCTTTCTTTTTTTAAATATAGTTTTCCCATAAGTTGATGCACTGATGGAACGATGCTCCTTCTTCTAAAACTCAAAAGGTGTCATGTTCTTAAAACTCTTCATGCTGGTGTCGTAAACATAATGCAGACACAGTGACATTTCTTTCATGCATATCACAAACATGATCACAGCTTTGCTTCCTATTTTTGTCACACAGCCGTTAACCAAAGCTATGTGACTTCCTGCTGAGCCGAGTGGTTTGTACTTTTGCATTTTCTTCTACAACACATACTGAGAGCAGAAGCCTCTCACGGGAAAGCTGCACTTGAGATACATTTGATTTCAAACCGTGTGATAGCTGTGTGAAAAGTTAAACACAGTAACGTACAGATAACTGTTTTAAGAGAACCAGACATTTTAATATTTTGTCTCAGAACAAATGAACGGAAGAGGGAAACCTTGATTCCCCATGTCTTTCTCTAAATGCAAAGTACTGTATGTGTTAGCAGTGCAAATGCTTTTTTTGTGTGTGCTTATTTGGCCTTACTCTACTTTTGATTAATAACATCCAAAATGTCATGCCTTTTAGCTGAAAATACAAAATAATCTTACATTTTTGTTAAACACCATTATCACTTTTTCAGTCAATAATATGGAATTGTATTGAATTTGAGGAATATATGACATAAAAATACAATATTATACAAACAACCTTTGGTAAATCAATGTTTTGTGACGTTCCAGTTCGGACCTCCAGCCCGGACTCAGGATCCAACAGATGATGAAGATTCAGCTCCACCTCTGTCCTCCACCTACGCTTGTGTTGGTCCTCACACTGGACCCGCAGCACCCACTGAGACTAGAAACACAGCTCAGCTAGAGAGTGTGTACGCTCAGGTAAAAAAGACCACACCAGGTCCTTGTAAATGATCAGGAGTCGTATTCCACACACTGCATTTGTTGGGATTACGATTTATGGCAACTGAGCCATGGACTTTATTTTCACGTTACCCTCTTTTGGTGTGAAAATCCTAAACCACGTCCTGTGTCTGCTCCCAGAAGTGCTCTAACTCCACCTTCAATGCACAGTTGTGATTGGTTAATGATCGGTTAAAAGGACTCATCAGCTTTTCTTGCAGTTTAGGAATTCTGAATCTCTGTGGCTATGGCTGCAATCTTGACTCATAGGTGTGACGGCCCCAGAGCCTGTGGCCTGTTTTTAATGGCGCATTTCCACTGCAGCGGCGTAGCCCCAATTAAGCGTCCGCCCCTACACACGGCGGCGTGCGTTACCGCTTGGCGGTGGGCGTGTCTGAAGCTTGTGGATTTTTTACGAACAACGCGACCAACAACCAATCACATGAATGTCCCGCCCCGGATATACAAAGCAAAGCATTCATGCTACATCCATGCTGGCTAAATATACTGTCTATGCTTGCTAGCTGTCCATTCAAACGAAGTACACTGGCTATAAACTCCCCAAACAGGCGAAAACCTACCAGTTTCACCCACTGTCTCTGCCACCTCCCCCCATGCCTGGCTCCTCCGGTTTGTATCCCTGTATGTAAAGAGGGACTGGTCATATAGTACCGGGTGATTCCCTAACGCCACGATAATTTCCTCCTCCATTTTTTGACATGGGAAATAACTGCGGTCTGGCTCTCCCAACATACACGCGGTTTGATTGGCTAGCGCTTGTGCTGTCAGATTTGCATACGCGGGATTTGATTGGCTGACGCCTCCGTCGAGGCGGCAAAAGTAGAACATTGCTCTACTTTTGCAGCGAGCACCGCGAGAGAAGCTACGCTTTGCTCCCACAATGCAGTTCGGCGAATCGTGACGTCACCCCATTCAAAGTGAATGGGCAGAAGCGTTGAAGCGGTAACGCACGCCGCCGTGTGTAGGGGCCGTTACGCGTCCTCGCTCAGGCCTCGGGCTGCCTCGCTGGCCGTCCGAGGCCGTGGCGCATTTCCATTACAGTTTAGGACCTGGGGTAGCAACGCAGTGTAGGCGGGGCGATCGGCTTTTTGGCGGGCTTTTTGGGCGGAGCGACGCTGGGTAAAACTGCAGTGGCGTCATCTTCAATGCGACACAACTCACAAAACACACACAACAATGGAGGATGTGGAAGCGATCGTTTACTTGTTTCTTGGTGTGTGGCTTGTTACCATGCTGTGCTCTGCATAACCTCTGCGAGAGTCATGGAGAGGACTATGATGATGGGTGGAATGCACCAGTAGCAGCAGAGCCTGGGGTAGCAGTGGCTCAAGGTGCAGAGGAGGAGGGCACTGACATCAGAGAGAGTTTGATGCGCTACCTGAATACCTACATATGTATTGAACATAAATACATCTTTTTTTTTTCATATACATGTGTTTGTCAAATGTTTTAAACAAATGTTGTTATCTGAATTGAATATTTAGTAAATATTTGAATTTCAAGCACCAGTAAGTACTGCCCCATAATAAGAACATTTGAGGAAATATCAGATCATGAAAAGAAAATCTTTCTAATCAATTAAGCGAATATCAAAGCTAACTATAAACATAAATACTAAAGTGTAAAACACAGCAAAACTATATTCATAAATGCAAGTGTAAAATAGTCTGGACAATTGTAAACATGGATGGAGGCTAAAGTATCCACAACATAAAATAATATATTAAAATATAACCTCAATCTTTCTTCTAGACATGTTAAAAGCTTGCTTGAATGGGTTATAGGTTTCTTCTTTTGTTCTCTCGTCTTTGAAATATATAAGGAATGTGTTGTTTGAGTCTAGTAGAACGAGGGTATTACAATTGAGCAATTTCTACTACATGTATTATGTATTTATCATACATTCTTAATACTATTACAAAATAAACATGTAATAATGTTTTAGAGGAGGACCTCAAGCTAGCAAACTCAATTTATTGCTTTAAATCTCTTAAAATTAACTTATATCTTATGGGCCTTTTCCTAACTGATGGTGTTTGTTATTGCTTTATAAATTCATGTATGTTTATATCTTCTCTAAATCAAGATTATGTGAATCTGATTTTTTTCTGTTGGGTGCAATTCATTATCAACAAAAGATAAGATAAGTCAAAGAAGTACTTTATTGATGGCAGTATAAAAATACAAAAAAAATGTTGTATCAAAAAGGCATGCCATTAAACAATACAAATAAAAAATGTAAAACTGTATTGCAGCCAGCATAAATATACATGGCATTGTAAAAATAAATATAAAATGCACATTTTAAATACAATAAATAAACAAGAAAGTACAAATGTTGCATTTAAAAATTAACTAGATAAATATATAATATGTACAATAACTATTAAGGTTATTTGAAGTATCACCGAGGAGACGGGCCACGTCGGCTGCCCAGTCCCCCTAGCACCTCGCCAAGAGTGCGCAGGAAGGCTAGGTTGAAGGTCTCTGCTTGAGCGGCCTCCTCCCTTCTCAAGACGGCCTCCTCCCTTCTCAAGACGGCCTCCTCCCTTCTCAAGATGGCCTCCTCCCTTCTCAAGGCCGCATCCAACTCCCATCTCCGCTCAGCAGACGCTTTGGCCCAGTCCAAGTGCCGTTCCTGCTGGGCCATGTGCTGTTCATGGTGCCGTTCCTGCTGGGCCCGATCCTCTCCTCCTCGTTTCCTCTTGCCTGGGTGACAATAAGATAATAATTAGCAATAAGGAAAAAACACTGGACAGGTACAGGTCACACAAGGATATAAGAATAACATGTATAAACAGAACAACAGTAAGGTGAACTAAAGAAAGTCCTGGCCCTAGATGTTTACAATGATTGTGAATTACATTATGTCCAGCCTGTTGATAATGAATATAAATATATGTATATGATAGGATGTCACACACAACTGTACTAGCTGCTTACTAGCTAAGACTTTACTTGTAACAGAGCATTTCCACACAGTGGTATAGCTTATTTTAATTACTGACGATGGATGATCCAAGGTTTAAAAAAACAAAACACAATTCCAGTCGTTTTGCCTTTTCTATTTCTTACCTAGACCCACACGCTGCGGTGTCGTGATGGCACTCGGCGTTGGTGGTTGAGTTGGTGTCGCTTCTTCGGCTGGTGTCTGTGGTCGAGCTGGGGTCCGTTCTGGATTCGATGACGATGTTGTGGACGGAACCCTGCCATCACCCGTTGTTCGGGAATGTTCCTCCTCACTAGTCCCAATGTAATCATCTAGAACAGCAAAATGACTTGTTAATTCCACAAACTACTGCAGCACAATACTAAATAGCAACAACAACTATAGAAAAGAAAAACTGAACGTAAACAATGGCACATATGGTGTTAGCAAACAATAGCTCTAGCTAAGGCTATCTGCCTAGGCTATCTGCCTTAGCTAGCTATGTAGCTCTTCGGGGCTCCATAAAAGCATGGGTTGTCGAACATTAATGTAAGGATTAAAATAGACTTATTTGTTAGAAGTGAGCGTACCTTGCAGGGACTCCAGTAAAGCCGTTGCAGAGTCCAGGCCTCCGTCCCTCCCAACGTTGGCCGGTCTATGGCGTAAATCTGGTCCAACAAGTCGAACCACTTCCATTGTTTCCTACCCGCACCACTCGTGTTATTGTTGTCCTTTACTTGGCAATATTCACTCTTCATCTTTTTGAGTTTTTCCCTACACTGCAGGAAAGTCCTCGACAATCCGCGTTCGGACATCTGTGCAGAGACATCCTGGAACACTTTCACATTTCGCGTTGTTCCGTCGAGCTCCCGCTGGATTTTATCATCCCCAATGAGATTAAGGAACGTCGTCACCTCCTCGGTCGACCACGGTGTGCTTTTCTTCGACGTTGCCATTTTTGTAGCTCCTCCGTTTACAAAATGCTGTTTATAAAAATGCTGCAAGCTTGCCTCTAGATATATATGCGACGCTAGGGATGATCTCGCGCACGATCTTGTGACGATTCTCTCTGACCAATCAGCAGTCGAGAGTGTTGACGTCACTCACTAGTTCAGCCCTGGCCCTGGCCTGATAGAACCACCATTTTATGGGGCCGGAAAAAGTACCCGCTAGCCGGTGCTAGGCTATATGGAAAGGCCACCAAAAACTGGCCTGGCCGCTTGAGGACGGTTAAGGACGCTTAAACGGGGCTACCCGCTGCAGTGGAAATGCGCCATTAGTGGTGTGCATGTGTGTTGCAGGTCCTTTGATTGGGGTGGAGCTGAGGAGACAATCAGCATAACTGGGGACACCTGGCCGGAGCCCAGGTTCTACTTAAGCCCAGCTACCCGGAGTCACGGGGCCTTCGCCACTCCTGTGGGGAGACTCTCGCCGGGATCCTTTCCCCTCGCCCAGCCTCTCAACATTTGTGTTGTTTTTGGTGTTGCCACAATAAATGTGCCGTGGTTTTTGGAAATCCTTGAACGTCTCTCTCTCTCTTTCCGTTGTGGCCTACTAGCCGGTCATAACATAGGACATTATTTATTGACTCCTCTTAGACAATCCTGGGACAACATTACATTTTTTTTACATCTTAATGTTTGTCATTTTTTGTATATCTTTCATTTCTATCTGTTGTATGCACCTGATCCTATTAGTCTATTTTGAAATATTGGAAAGCAATGATGTTTGGCACATTTTTGTGAACGTTTCAAAGACTTTAGCTAACTTGAAGAGCAACAGGAACCACTGATCCTAGTAAGCATCAAGCTAATTAGAAGATGAAACCCTTGCAAATTCACACATCACAGCACACACAGTGAAATATGACCTCTTGGGGGTTGGGGGTGTCTGATGCCTTGCTCAAGGACACCATGGCAGAGCCCAGGGTTGCGTTCCGATTATCCAAAAATCAGCTCCTAAGTTCTAACCCTATCTCCTATTCCTTGACCTCTGAGTGAAACGTCACGGGGTTAAGGGATAGTGGATAGGAGAATTCAAAAGGACTTAGGAGAAGAGACTGTGGCACTTTAGAGAATCCGAATGCACTTTCACTATCCGACGTGTTTATGATGCGCCAGCGGACGTCATGAATGTGCGTCTGCTGCTGTGGGGAAACTATGGAAACTACAGTTTTCTATATAACGGACTACAACATGGATGTTCAATAAGAACGACGGACTCATCTAGAGACTCTGCACCGTGCTCTGACGCTGTTGTTTTATGCTTTATGAACGTGGACAACAGAGAAACATATTCTTCATGACCAAAGTTGGAATTGAAATAAAAAAGGAAAGTGAAACTTATGCTCGTCACCCTCTCCCTCCGGTCCACATTAATACAAATGATCCCAATACGTATGATTGTATGAACTATGAAAAGATCTTAAAATCAATACAAATGTATTTATTATAAACGTTAGTCCTTAACATCTATCACTGTGTAATCACCATTCAAACATCTTTTAAAAGTTGAACAAACTCCACACAGCTCAGTAAAGACTGTGAGATGTTGACTTTATTTGATAATTTCAGTAAAAACTAACGTTCATATTTCTCTTTTTGATTATAATACTGATGAACGTTCAAAACAAAGCACTTTGGCAACTTACCACATACGTTTAAAAATGCTTAATAAGAACCGTAACGTTCATGATATCATGCTAGGTTGATGCTTAGCTAAGCTAACTATGAAACACTTTAACTGACAGGTCTCAGGAATCAGGATCAACTGTGTAAGGTAGCTTCTAGCTTCATGTCGAACACAGACAGTAAGTCAACATTTCCCAGAGAGCTTTCTTTGAAATCACCAAGTAACGCTAAAAAACACAACATTTAGATTGTATGACAAAGTGTTTATTTAATATATCTGGCTAGCTATAGCTACTTGCTAACGGTTTAGCTTACCCGCGTGATTCAAAGTAACGTCAACGTAGCTATAATGTATGCTTTGCTTACATGTTCGCATAGCTTGTAAGTTTACTGACAGGTACATACCTTGTTCACCTGGCTCAGGTGGTGGCTCTGGGGTTGTTGTGTGAGCCACCACTTGAGAATTGCCGTCTTTTTTATTAAAGAAATGTCTAATGTCCATCTTCAGAATCTCCGCGTCCGGGGCTGACAGTTTAAAGTTTAAACATTGTCACAGAGGACAGGAACGTACCTGTCAGCCAATAAAACACGTTTATTTCCATGCAACTCTCTGATTGGTCTGGTGGCGTCGTCTTGCCTCTGTGTTGCATTCACTGAACATGGGAAATTACATTTCTGCCGTCCGTCCTATAGGTAAAGTAGGTTAATGTATTATATTATTGAGGGAGAATTTGTCCGGGGCTAAAGAAAAAACATCCGGGGCTAAAGCCCCGGATGCCTACCCCAGGCGACGCCCCTGGTACTCAGCATTGAATCAAAACGCACTACAGCTGTTGATCTTAATAAGTTTGTGAGGCGTTTTGCTGAACAAAATAGTAATCGCCGCATTCAGCTGTAATAGACATGCCAACGTGATGCTCTGCTCACGGATGACTCGATGAGAATAACAAACTGTTAAGATGATGACCTTGTATGCGTGTATATATTTTTTTCTTTGAGGGGGTCTGCCCCCAAAAAACTGTTTTAAGTCCTGAGAAAGTAAAATAAGACGGTGTGTAAAACTACACTGCCCAGCCAACAGAAAGTAACCACTTTGATTTAACTAGGCCAGTAGGTAAGGACCTTCCACTGGATAATAACTGCAGCGATGTTTTAGCTGAATAGACGTTTTTTAACCCTAGCTGATGCAATTAGTCACTTCTTTAATGTTTGTTCTTTCGGATGTAAAGTCAAGGTTGTAACTGTATATCAATAATGATATAATTACTTGTTTTTCAAATTTGAAGGAGGGTGAGCAAGCATCTTGATGAACATTCATCATTAACTCCTCCAAAAAATATAGTTTATTCAATAATAAATGAATATGTGAATCATAACAGTTCTTCACTATATCTGTAAAGCGTCTTTGAGCACCTGTAAAACCGCTAACAAATGAAATCTATTATTATTATTATTATTATTTATTAACAGTGCAACTCATCTGATTGGTCAATCCCTCCATTTTTTTTCACCAAGGGAAGCCAATTTCGGCTGGCCTCCTCTCGCAGCAGAGAGTGCAATCTACTGTTTCACCATAACATCTAGAGGGACGCTGTTTCACTCTTTGTAAAATACTCAATGAGAATGGGGGAGAGACCAAAGGGGAGAGACGGGCCGGCAGCAACACACAACAAATAATTTCCGAAACTAAACGAAGTGTTTTTATTTATTTATTAAAATTAGCCTCCTCCTTGGCCTCCAGGAGAAAACGCCACTATAATAAGTCGTAATAAGGGCATGAACAATCGGCCTATATGGTCGTTTTTTGTAGGAGGACAGGCTGATGCAGATACATTGTAAGTATACATATTTATATCCATGTTTGCTGCTTGCTGCTTTGAGGCTGCACACTTTTGTTGTTGCATTTCTACATTTCTTGGTGTGCCACAAATTGCGGATCCATGAAATATCATCAAATCAGCAGCAGACATGTTGTATCTCTAAGGGCTTGTGCATGCACATTACAAATAAAATAGGGACTCACTAGTCTGACAACGTTGATGGTGTCTAAAAAAAAAACTATTGGAGAACTATTTATTTATTTGTTGTTGTTGAGCTTCTCCATGAGATGAACCGTGATGACAGCAGACACCATGATGATCAGACCCACAGAGAACACACACGTCTTCACCAGGCACACAGATAACCCCTCTGGATCTGAAACACAACAAACAGAGAGTTTCACATCAGAACCGACACAGAGATCCAGACTGAGACGCACTGAGTGGAAGCAGCAACGCAGTGATTACTACTTTAACAGTTTGAGTACATTACAGTTTGCAAGTACTTTGAGTCCTCCATTGTAAAATATTTTTTTAATGGTTGTGAAATACATGCATTGCAAAGTGCAGTTGAGTTTTACAGACTGTCGATATGCATCATGCATTGTAAAACGGCATTTTGGCTGTTAAATGTTGATTATTCTGTTCTTCAAATATGCAGGTATTTTTGTACTTATACAAATATTCAAGTTCAAAGTTTTCTATAAAGGTTCTACATAGGTTCTGTATATATATGAGACAAACAGCACATTCAATGCGTAAAACATGATGTACTGAATTAATCTTGTATTCTAAGGTTTCTTCAAATTAAATTGTTCACATTTAACACCTCACAAAGAAGTTTAGTTAAACTTTCAATTCCAATCTGTGTGTTATGATCAGGAAGTAGTTTCTCTTTCAGTCTTTCCAACAAGCTGGTGGCAGACATCTTTGATTGTTTTGGTGTCGTTGGTCCAGCTAACATGGTTGCTATGGTTACAGATGATCGATCCTCTTGATTGGTGGACCTGGAGAAAAGTATCAGGGATCCCGTCTGACCGCTCTCCTCCCTCCTGACTGCAGGTTCTGGTGTCACATGTGAAAGTGCTGTTGATGTGAGAGTCCTGTGAGCTGCAGGTCACAGTGAAGCTACAGGAGGAAGAGCTTCTGGAGACAGAGCTCACTGTGAGGAGAGGGAGAGACGCTCGATCTGAGGAGGGAAGGAGCAGGTGAAGAGTTTTAGAAACAAGACCACTGAAACTCTATCAGTGTTTGAGAGGTTAACAAACATACCTTGAACTGTGATCTTGTATTTAGCTGCTTCTTTTATGTCTTCTGAAAGATTTGTCACTCGAGTCGAGCGGGATAATCTCCACTGTCGGCCTCTTTGAGATTCTTTAATTTCACAGTGAAATTGTTCACAGGAAACTCAATCCTTCCAGCATAATCAGAAAAAATATTCGGATTGTTGCCAGGGTTAACTGTTAATACACTTTTTCATTGCATTTCCAAGAAAACTAAAAACATCCTGAAGAATAACAGCTTTGGTAACATTATAGTCGTAGTTATCATAGTTTTTATTCAAGTCTTTTTCCGCCCACTCTTTTCTCCTTCTTACCTCAAATATGGTCAAAAGTCTTCTGAAAGTAAACAGACTTGTAATAATAAATATTTTACCATTCTTCTCCTCGTTAACTATGACTACTACCCCTAAAGACACAATTTGCCCTGTTTTGGGGGAAATGGAACCCGATGTAGGATATCACTGAAACATTCTGTCTTTTCAACTATCAGAGTCTTTTCACTGGGATTTTCTTCAACCTTGTCCTTCATTTTCTACTTCTCACTCACACCAGTTTTGCTCCTTCTAAGTGCCCTTGAGCTATAACCTCTAATTGCTCTTAATTGCAGTGTAGCATAGCAGGGACAGCGTTGAAGAACCAAAGAAGCAAAGTAATGTAATGTATCAAAAAACTCAAAATAATTTCAAATTATAATAACATTAAGTTCAGTATGCTGGTTTTACCTAATTTTCTCCAGAACATGTTTTTTTCTTTAAACTTCTGTTTTAAATGTTTTATTCAAAAATAATTGGCTTCTAATGCAAAGCACTGACAACCAGGCTTTGTTTTCTGCATTTTGCCCCTGAATAACCGACTGTTTTTATGGATAAACGATTTATTGTTATAGGCCAGGGGTGTCAAACTCAAGGCCCGGGGGCCACATCCGGCCCGCGACTTCATTTTATGTGGCCCTGCAAGAGCTTGCAAAGAATGTAATACGTTTATTATACGATTAAATTCCGCTTTACAGAATCAGGTTGCCCATAAACTACATGTCCCAAAATGCATCTCGTTTTGTGACAGGCCCACTGAAGAGACTTGCAATTATTTACTTTCAGACGTAGTTAATTACTAAGTCATTATCCTATCCGATAATAATCCAATTCAGAGGCAATAATGTAATATAACACATTATTTTATATATATTATATATTTATATATATGTATATTTATATAGTTACAGCCGGCCCTTTGAGTGCAACTATAATGCTGATGTGGCCCGCGATGAAATTGAGTTTGACACGCCTGTTATAGCCAGTAAGAAGCTAACAGTTTTTTGACTGCAAATAAATTCTCTTGAGAAAACTCCACATGTCACTTTTTGATCTTACAATCTTGCAATACAACTATTATAACTTTTGTACAGTTTATTGTTTAACATTTTTTTATATTTCCATGATGAAGCAGGACATATTTCCTGTAATAAAATTACATAAAAATGTAATAAAATCCTTAAATATAAATATATAAGGTGGCAGACATAATTTAATGAATTTTAACTGAACAATAACTGAATGAGTTTGTTTCACTCTTAGACCAGCAGGGGCACCAAATCTATGCAGACTTCTGCAATAAGTACATTAATTAACTGTCTCATCGATGTTTGTCTGAATGAATATGATAATATTAACAATCATATTATTCCTATCAGCTGTCAATCACTGTTATGATTCACATATTCATTTATTATTGAATAAACTATATTTTTTGGAGGAGTTCATGATGAATGTTCCTCAAGATGCTTGCTCACCCTCCTTCAAATTTGAAAGACAAGTAATTATGATCATGTATCATAAATCAAAAGATTCAAAGGAACAGTTCAGCGCCCCACAACTTAATTGCAAACAGTTACAACCTTGACTTTACATCAGAAAGAACAAACATTAAAGAAGTGACTAACTGCATCAATTAGGGTTAAAAAACGTGTATTCAGCTAAAACATAAACATCGCTGCAGTTATTATCCAGTGGAAAGCCCTTACCTACTGGCCTAGTTAAATCAAAGTGGTTACTTTCTTTTGGCTGGGCAGTGTAGTTTTACACACCGTCTGATTTGACTTTCTCAGGACTTAAAACTGTTTTTTGGGGGCAGACCCCCTCAAAGAAGAAAAACATTATACACACGTAAGGTCATCATCTTAACAGTTTATTATTCTCATCGACTCATCCGTGAGCAGAGCATCAAGTTGGCATGCCTATTACAGCTGAATGTGGCGATTACCATCTTGATCAGCAAAACGCCTCACAAACTTATTAAGATTTAAAGCTTTGGTGTGTTTTGATTCAATGCTGAGTACAGCCAAACTTGACAGGCTCTTCTCTGTCATTGTAGACCGCAAACAGTGGCAGCTCCAGAGTATTTGTGTTGGGTAATCTATGGTAGGGCTAACCCATGTAGCGGTGGGGCTAAAGTCAGTATTTGCAATGTAATTACATACACGCTCCCTTTGACAGTGAAACGCCACGCGTGAGGTTTAGATTATTTCCCTGTCTCAATCCAAATTGAACTGTATGAAATAAAAAGGCACATTTGTCTTGTAGTAAATAAAAAGGGCGACCTGGAGGCTCGAGCCAATCCTGCAATTTCCCCACAAGTGAAAGAGTTGACATGCTGAAAACCCAACCCCTGCAGGGGGGTCTGGGGGGATTCTCCCCCAGGAGATTTTTTGAAATACTAACATAAAATATACATTCTGGTAGCCTACTCTATTGAGAAGAAAAATAAATACATCTATTACTACACGACATATTTAAAAAAATGAATGCCATTTTAGTTTTTTGTTACTTTGTTCTGAAAGCTGAACCTGCTGCTCCTCACAGAGAGAAGAGGGAAGAGGCTGTGTGAATTACTTTACATTGTGGATAAGGGTGGATAGCCCCCATTGTTCTGTGTGTCAAAATGAAAGACATCAAACCGTGGGGTCTTATTTCATTACGTGTTGATAGAAATCAACACGTCGCCCAATCGCCGCCAATCATATTTCCACGCTCGTTCCAGGGCCGGGGTTACAAGGCTCGCGTCTTGTGCTGCATTCACTTGCACTCGGACATTAGAGATTTTCTCTCATAAATGTCCGATGAGCCACAACTTTTTTTTCAAAACAAAGCTGCCAACTGGGGTAGCAGCTGGGGTGACAAGGCATTTTTCTGAGGTGGCAGCTGCCACCCCGTGCCACCCTGTAGAACCGCCACTGTCACTCGAGCAGTATAAACTCCACTGTCTGCCTCTTGGAGATTCTTCAATTTCACAGAGAAATTGTTCACAGGAAACTCAATTCTCCCTGTATAGTCATCAAACACTTTTTTTAAATTCATAAATAAATGTTACTAAAACGTTATTTTCATAAAACTTCCAAGAAAAATATTCTAAATCCCCAAGAACACAGCGTTGGTGACATTCAGGAGCACATCCTCTCCCTTCAGCACAAACACAGGAGTCCCAGCACTGATCCCTGTAAAACAATAGAGACATCATACAGTAAATATCACACACAATATACTGTATGGATATTACTATATTTGTGTATTTTATTCATGACAAATATCTGATCACAATGAAATCCAGGCTTAACATTCAACCCAGTGACAGTAATAGTCATAGCCATCATAGTTTTTATTCAATTCTTTTTTAGTCCACTTGTTTCACTGGGATTTTCTTCAACCTTGTCCTTCATTTTCCTCTTCTCACTCACACCCTTGAGCTATAACCTCTAATTGTTCTTGATTGCAGTGTAGCATAGCAGAGACAACATTGATGAACCAAAGAAGCAAAGTAATGTAATGTATCAAAAAACTCAAAATAATTTCACATTATAATAACATTAAATTCAGTGTGCTGGTTTTATGTAATTTTCTACAGAACATTTTTTTTCTTTAAACTTCTTCTGTTTTAAATGTGTTATTCAAAAAATAATTGGCTTCTAATGCAAAGCACTGACAACCAGGCTTTGTTTTCTGCATTTTGCTCCTGAATAACCGACTGTTTTTATGGATAAACGATTAATTGTTATAGGCAGTAAGAAGTGAACAGTTTTTTGACTGCAATCTCAATCTTTATTTATTTATATAGCACATTTAAAACAACCTTCAGTTGACCAAAGTGCTGTACAGGCAGTAACTACAATATTAAATAACACAATGGGAGAATTAAAAACATAATAAAAAGCACAATAACTAGAAACATATAAAAAATAAATAAATAAAAAACACATACAAATATAAAAATGTAATGTTCAACTAGTATTAAAAGCCAGTGCAAAGAGGTGAGTTTTTAGCTGAGATTTAAAAAGTTCAATAGACTCAGCAGTCCGGATATGTGCTGGGAGGCTGTTCCACAGTCTGGGAGCTGCAACACTGAAGGCCCTGTCACCTCTGGTTTTTTTCCTGCTCCGAGGAACCACCAACATATTCTGCTGAGCTGAGCTGACTGCAAATAAATTCACTTGAGAAAACTACACATGTCACTTTTTGATCTTACAATCTTGCAATAAAACTATTATAAATGTTAAACAGAGTATTGTTTAACATTTTTATATTTCCATGACGAAGCAGGACACATTTCCTGTAATAAAATGACTTTACTCTGAGTTACCTTTCTCTGTAAGACTCAGACATCACTTCCTCTTCTTTCGTTTGTGAGCACTTCATGTCATTATACAAACAAAGGAAGGTTATCTACCCCTGACATGTTTTAAGATGAAACATCTCCAATAACTTGTTCTGAGTACATTTTTCAAACTGAAGAAGCCTGCTCACATACTTGAGCTAAATCTGATAAATGTTAAAACATTGAATTAGACTTGTTTTTATCGTACCTTGTGCCTCAGTGCAGACCAGCAGCCCCAGAATCACGAAGTGGAACATGACAGTCTCTAAATACTCCATACAATAATGTGTGCTTCCTGTTTGGCTCTAACACCACCAAGTATTTTCACAGTTGTTTTTTTTTCTTTTAAAACCACACAACCTTTTGCATGATGTGAAGACGTGAACTTATATTTGCACCGTACCAACAAACAAACAACCAAACTGTGCTCCATTTTGCAAATAAGCAAAAGGTGTTGTGTTATCGAAACTCTAAATGTACATATAAAATGCTGTTAAAACACAATTCTGCAATTTTCTTCCATGCATATCACATCTGATCACAACTTTGCTTCCTGTGTTTGGCACTTACAAGTTAACCATATGTGACTTGCTGAGCCAAGCAGTTGGTACTTCTGCATTTTCTTACTCATTACATACTGAGAGCAAAATACTTTCAAAAGCAAGCTGCACTTGGGATACATGTTTCTGCAAACTGTGTGATAGTTGTGTGAGAATTAAAACACAGAAACGTACAGATAACTGTTTTAAGAGAACCAGACATCTTCAGTTTTAGTCCAGAACAACAACAAGAAAAACTAACATCACGCATTATTTGAATGTTGTCTTATTCTTACTTCCTATTCATCTAGAGTTTTGTGTAAGGACAGAGAGCCATGGAACAAAAAACAAGACACAAGCCAACTTGGATCAGAATCACTTCCCCATACAACACATCTTACGGAAAGAGGTTGTATTTTAAACCTTTCACTGTTGTTTACTGTGAATCACAAGGTAAGAACTTTATTTTATATTTCCTGTTATTGATCAACTTTTTTTGTTTTCAAAGTTAATGTTTTTGTACTGTAGCTCTACTTAAGCAATATACAGTAAGTAAGATTATACCCTTTATGTTTTATTTTTTTATTTAATAGTGTTAAAAAAAATGTTGCTCAATGTTATGGTGATGCTAATAAAAAATGTAAAATTGTATTGAGATATTTTTATATATACAGTTATGTCGGTAATGTAAAGGAAATGTTTCTCTAAAAGTGAATATGGATACATGCTGGTTTCAAAGACACAATAATAATAATAATAATAATGCATTACTTTTTTATTAGAGACGCCCCTTGATCTGAGGAACAACGCTCTAGCCCATTGTGCCAAGTCCAACACTACCCGGACATAAGCAACGAAGCTTTGCTGACAGGAAACTGGGGGAGATGGAGGCCCACAAAACGCTGTGACACTAAGCACGTATCACACTTCCGCAACACATTTGAAAAATGAAGTCGTTTGTTACATTTCTCTTTGTCGTTTATGAGCTTTATTTATGTGAATCACAAGGTAAGAACATTATTTTGTTGTCTTCTTTTGTTGATCTACTTTTTTTTGTTTTCACAGTCAAAGTTGTTGTACTGTAGCACTACTTAAACAATATAAGATTAGAAACGTAATGTTTTTTGATTCCTATATTTCAAATAGGTAGTATTTAGAAATGTATGCAATTATTAGTTATCTGCTTATTGTCATTTAATAAAGTAGTAATACTAATTAAATGTAAAATTGTATGTAGATATTTTGATATATACAGTTATGTCTGTTGAAACCACATCCAGGCACAAAGTCCTGGTGATGTAAAGGGAATATATCTTCAGTGTCAGTGAATGTGAAATACAGCAGAAACTTGAACCAAAATCTCCAGTCATCAGGATTATTAAATAGTATCTATACTTTTATGAATAAATTGATCGATATAAAGATTAACATTTTATTTTAAACACTTTTGTGTCGCGGTACGCACTTTTTCAGTCCTTTCAAGTAACAGTTTAGATATTTGTATATTTCATAGTGTAGTTGTCAGCATAATGAACCTGGAAATGTTGAATCCATCAAAGTTTTATGATGTGTAGTCCCGAGCACATAGAAACTGCTGGATTAAAACTCGCATATTTTTGGCAATTTGTACAATTAGAATAAATTGCGTGAATTAAAATAAACGTACTATGTAAACAATAGCTAAAAAAACTCTTGGCCGATTTGGAAAATCTTGGATTGGTCTGGCAGTTATTGAGGACGCTGAATCCATTTCTGACCGTTTCAGGATCAAAAGTGGCAAGTGGAAATAAATGTACTCTTGGTGGCTGATTTTGACTACCATGAGTTGCGATCATTGGATATAGAGAGCAACATTCTCACTCTCACCATCATTGGTGTATTACTTTGGTATCTTCGAACGAGAAGAACAAGTAAGTCTAAGTGTGCATTTCATCAAAAACATTTATTTTAGTTTGACTGTTTGAGGGAATTAAGTGTTTTATTCAAGTTCATCATATTCCACCTACACATCCTCATTGTCTGTTGAGCAATCACATAAAACATATCTGAAACCTCTCAAACAGCAGCATACTCTATATAATAATCTACATATAGAGCCTGTTCAGCTGTTTGAAAAAGATAATTTAGACACAACCTAAATCTGGAGTCAATGCAGATGCAGCTCAAGTAATGTAAATGTTATGAAGGTAATAAGCATTAAAGGTGAAGCTCTCAAAATGAAATGTAAATTATAGGGCCGGGACTCGATTAAAAAAATTAATCTAATTAATTAGAGGCTTTGTAATTAATTAATCGAAATTAATCGCATTTTTAATCACATATAAATATTTGACCTAAGAACAGTGAGAAGCAATTTTTTTCACATGGATTTTAGTATACCATTAGGCGCATTCACACTGCGGTACTTTTCCCACAAAGGTTCATGTGAATTTAGTTCATGTGAACTCTTTAGTTCGCATGAACTAAATACAGATCGCGTTCACACTGGAAAAAGTCCCTGGGGGAGGATTAGGCAAATGAAGCCGCTGACGTCACTTCTTCTTCTTCTGCTTTGGGTTTACTGGCAGGCCGCAAACCACTTCACGGCGTATATTGCCGCCCAAAGTCCCCGGCCGGAAGTCCCCGGAGTTGGGGACTGGCTTCAGTAGAAGCTGCTGGGACTCCCAGCAGCTTGTACTGAAGCCTTCCGAGTAAATCGCCAGAACGCCGACACCTCCTCATCTCCACCGCTCTCATGTTTTATTTTGTGTTGCCATAAGTTAGTCTCTCTGCGCTGGGCTAATGCTAATGCTAATAATGCTAATGCGAGGATAATAAAATGGCGGCTTCACAAAACTTTTTGGGAGTTTTACGGGGCGTGGTTTGCAATCCTTCCAGCCAATCAGAAATATAGCTCTTTTCTCACAAGAGAGCCGAGGTAAAAAGGTTCACATGAACTAATTTTAGTACCGGCTCTTTTTGGTGTGAACGCGTTAAAAGAGTTCACATGAACTAAGTTCACATGAACCTTTGTGGGAAAAGTACCGCAGTGTGAATGCGCCTAATGAGAACTTAGTTCATGAGAACTCTTTGAACCTGGGGGTGGATTAGGCAAATGAAGCCGCTGACGTCACTTCTTCTTCTTCTGCTTTGGGTTTACTGGCAGGCCGCAAACCACTTCACGCCGTATACTGCCGCCCAAAGTCCCCGGACGGAAGTCCCCGGAGTTGTTGACTGGCTTCAGTAGAAGCTGCTGGGAGTCCCAGCAGCCTTCCGAGTAAATCGCCAGAACGCCGACACCGCCTCATCTCCACCGCTCCCATGTTTTATTTTGTGTTGCCATAAGTCAGTCTCTCTGCGTTTCTGCGCTGGGCTAATGCTAATAATGCTAATGCGAGGAAAATAAAATGGCGGCTTCACAAAACTTTTTGGGAGTTTTACGGGGCGTGGTTTGCAATCCGCCCAGCCAATCTGAAATATAGCTCTTTTCTCACAAGAGAGCCGTACGAAAGTCCCTGCTCTCTAGCAGCTCTCTGCTCTCTAGCAGGAACTTTCGTGGGGGTAAAAAGGTTCTCATGAACTAATTTTAGTACCGGCGCTTTTTGGTGTGAACGCGATAAAAGAGGCTAACGTCCACGCTAGCTTCCACGCTAGCTGCTATATGTTTTGCATTGAGGTGATACTTGAGGCTTGATGTGCTGCGGTGATATGCGAATTCCTTTTTGCATAATTTGCACACAACCGTGCTCTTATCGACGCTTCCATCCGTCCGTTTTTTAAAACAACATTTCCCACTGTTGTTCACTGTGGTTTGTTGTTGTCTGAAGTCATGAACGTTAGTTGGTGCTCCAGTATAATCGGTACGCCTGAAACTCATCCAGTGAGAAACGTTCCGCGGTGCAAAAATAAGTGCGATTAAAATGCGTAAATTTTTTTACCGCGTTAATTTTTGTGTAATTAATTCATCTTAATTAACGCGTTAAAGTCCCGGCCCTAGTAAATTAGTGCAAATCCACATATATTTGTTTTTGACTGACCTGCAGGCAAAAGGGTGAGAGCACAGGAGGGAAAGTATTATTTTTACTTAGGACAATTCTTATTCAAATAAATAGATGATCTGTTCAATCCAAATGAGTCCCCTAAATCTTCAAAATCGACCTGAAATTAATCAAAATCAACTCACAGAGTACAAATAATGGCGTATTCCTTTAAATTACCCCCAAACAACTCAAACATTTTCCAAACCGGCCTAGATTTTTTTTAAACTATTGTCCACAGAGGCTCAAATGGTAATTCATGCTAATAATAATTATGCTGATTGTGAAAATTGACCAACATGAAAGTTAGCATCTGGCCGTTTCTATGTGCTGTGTAACTGAACTATACATTTCTATCATAACACTTTGGTGTTCTCAACATTTCCAGATTCACAATAGGACTCAATGAGCTGGCAACTTTTAACCTTCAGAGTAGATGAAACACTCTGGAAGTGGTTTGAGGCAGATTATAACCAAATGTAGAAAAGGAGTAAATGCTTCGCCTCTGTCAAATCAGGGAAACAATAGTATGGGTAAAGAGGGGGGGAAATAAGCACGGTGTGAGAAAGTCCCCTGTTTTTCATACGAGACCGAATGGAAATAATTTGTCAGATGAAAAAGAAACATAAATAAATACTTAATACTTACACCCACACCCGCTCCCGAGACCACATCACTCCCGTCCTCCAGAACCTCCACCGTCAAAGAATCAACTTCAAAGTCCTCCTCATTACTCACAAAGCCCTCAACAACCAGGCCCCCCCCCCCCCCCCCCCCCACCTCACAGACCTGCTGCACCACCACACCCCTTCCCGCTGCCTCCGCTCATCAGAAGCCAACCTCCTATCCATCCCCACCAATCACCGGACCTGGGGGGACAGAGCCTTCTCCGTCGCTGCCCCCTCCCTCTGGAACTCACTCCCCCAACCCATCAGAGACCGCGCTGACCTCACCACCTTCAAAACACTCACCTCTTCAATCTGGCTTTTAATGTGTGATTATTTTTGTATTATTTGACTTTAACTTTAACTATATATTTATTTGTTGTTCCTTCCTTTTCTTTTCCCTTCACTATATCTGTAAAGCGTCTTTGAGCACCTGTAAAAGCGCTAACAAATTAAATCTATTATTATTATTATTATTATTATTAAAGCAGGATTTAAGTTCAACTGATAAACTCCTCTAAGCAGCTTTAAGGGTCAAAGCTAATCCAAGAGTTTTAAAAAGATATGTTCAAACCTTGATAAATATGAGTATTTTATAATCATATATAGTAGGAATAGAGAAATATTCAGTTTTGCCCAAATAAACATATATTGTGTGATATTTACTGTATGATGTGTCTACTGTTTTACAGGGATCAGTGCTGGGACTCCTGTGTTTGTGCTGAAGGGAGAGGATTTGCTTCTGAATGTCACCAAAACTGTTGTTCTTGGAAAATTTGATAATTTTTCCTGGAAATGTAATAAAAGTAACATAGTAAGATTCACTTTTAATGACAAAGGAGTCTCTGCTAATTACACTCGAAGGGTTGAGTTTCCTGTGAACAATTATTCTGTGATCTTGAAGAATCTCCAAGAGGCAGACAGTGGAGTTTATACTGCTGTAGTGGCAACGGATTCAGGAGACGAAACAGAAGCTAAATACAACGTCAAAGTTCAAGGTATGTTTGTTAACCTCTCAAACACTGATAGAGTTTCCGTGGTCTTGTTTCTAAAACTCTTCCCCTGCTCCTTCCCTCCTCAGATCGAGTGTCTCCAGTAAATCTCACAGTGGTGAATAACTCTGTCTCCAGAAACTCTTCCTCCTGTAGCTTCACTGTGACCTGCAGCTCACAGGACTCTCACATCAACAGCACTTTCACCTGTGACACCAGAACCTGCAGTCAGGAGGGAGGAGAGCGGTCAGAGGGGATCCCTGATACTTTTCTCCAGGTCCACCAATCAAGTGGATCGATCATCTGTAACCATAGCAACCGTGTCAGCTGGACCGACACCACCATAATAATCAAAGATGTCTGCCACCAGCATGATGGTATAAGACTGAAAGACAAAACTACTTCCTGATAATAACACACAGTTAGTAAGTTTAGAGCTTTCAGTATAAGCATTTTTTAAGATTTTTTTTTATGAAAAAACAATTTAATATAAGTTTAAAAAGCAAACCTTTATGCGTCTTTAAATCAGTAAATAAGTATTCCAAGGTGTGACATATACATTGGGTTTGTTCCAATTATGTTTAAAGTCAAAACACTTTTTTTATCATTTAAAAAAACATTTAAAGGAAGAGATTCTCAGGAGGCAGAAATTAACCCATTGAAGCCATTATAAAATAACATGTTAGCAGTGAGCAGTGTTTTCTCTGACAGGAAATGAAAAAACACGTGTGTGTGTGTGTGTGTGTGTGTGTGTGTGTGTGTGTGTGTGTGTGTGTGTGTGTGTGTGTGTGTGTGTGTGTGTGTGTGTGTGTGTGTGTGTGTGGGGCAGAGTCTTTAAAAGTTTAAAGCTTGTTTTTTTTTATTGTCACATGTTTCAGTTAAACCTGTACAAACAAAATAAAATGAGTAGCCTTATTTTTACTACAATGAAGTGTTTTAATTAAGTATTTTGTAGTTTATAAAACTAAACTTGGAATTAGTCGGTGAAAGTTTCTGCTCCAGTAATTTAACTTGCAAAACCAGCTATCATTATCGACCAGCGTTTCTTTGATTGAACAATTTGCTCATTCAGTGACCTGTTGAAGGTTGGAAATGTCACGTTGAACTGAGTAACTGATTTAACATGTTAGGGTTGAATCAAACAAATTCAATTATTTCTTACTCAGGTCTGCAACTAAGATATTTTTGTGTAATTAAAACAGTCTGGCAGGATGTGATGCAGTAACACTAAGTTTATGAATGTAACCAAGCATTATAATGTGGCTTATGCTTTTATTTACAGTTCCTCCCCCACCAAACCCTGTTCCCATCATTTTGGGAGTATTCTTCCCAATTCTCATTCTCGCCATCATTGGTGTACTTTGGTGCTATCTTCGAACGAGAACAAGTAAGTCTAAGTGTTCATTTTATCAAAAACATTTATTTTTGTTTTACTGTCTGTGGGAATTAAGTGTTTTATTCAAGTTCATCATATTCCACATCCTCATTGTCTATTGAGCATAAAACATATCTGAAACCTCTCATCCAGCAACTCTTTATAATATTCTCTTTAAAAAGATAATTTAGACACATATACAATATCTGGACTCAATGCAGATGCAGATCAAGTAATGTAAATCTTATGAAGGTAATAATCTTTAAAGGTGAAGCTCTCAAAATGAAATGTAAATTAATGCAAATCCAGATATATTTTGTTTTGACTGACCTGCAGGTCAAAGAGTGATTATCGAGAATACAGTTTATGATACTGCTCAGGTAAGAGACAAGGTATTTTTTACTTTTGAGTGAAAAGTAACAAAAATTGACTGAATTTTAGATTTTGAACAATTTAAACAGACTTGGACTGAATATGAAGAACAAGCTAAATCCATAACTGGAGCCTCAGACAGTTATATTGCCTACTATGCACACTAATCACTATGCACACTAATCACTATGCACACTAATCACTATGCACACAGTTTATCTGCATATATGTATTTGCTATATACTGTATATTATCCCTGACTCCTTTCTACACCACCTTCTGCCTGCAGTTCCAGGTCCTGCTGCTCACATTTCTGGTTGAGCTGCTTGCTCTTTTAAAGCTTTGGGTCCGACTAACCTGATGCACCGTGATGCTTCTCTCTAAACCTGCTGCTGAGTCTCTGTCTGGCAATATCTGTATTCAAACTGCACTGTGTTTCTTAGTGATGTGCATTTGTTGTTTGCGTGTGTGTGTTTTTATTATTTTTTTAATATAGTTTTTCCATAAGTTGATGCACCGATGGAACAATGCTCCTTTTTCTAAAACGCATGACATGCTGGTGTCTTAAACAAAATGCAGCCACAGTGACTTTTACCAAAGGTTTCTTTCATGCATATCACATGATCAGAACTTTGCTTTTCTATTTTTGTCACACAGCCGTTAACCAAAGCTATGTGACTTCCTGCTGAGCCGAGTGGTTTGTTCTTTTGCATTTTCTTCCACAACACATACTGAGAGCAGAAGCCTCTCACGGGAAAGCTGCACTTGAGATACATTTGATTTCAAACCGTGTGATAGTTGTGTGAAAAGTTAAACACAGTAACGTACAGATAACTGTTTTATGAGAACTAAAATCTTAATTTTTTGTCTCAGAACAATTTAAGAAAAGAGGAGACCTGTAATTCCCCATGTCTTTCTCTGAATGCAAAGTACTGTATGTGTTAGCCGTGCAAATGCTTTTTTGTGTGTGCTTGTTTGGCCTTAAAATGTCATGCCTTTGAACTGAAAATACGCATGAATCTTACATTTTTGTTTAACACCATTATCACTTTTACAGTCAATAATATGGAATTGTATTGTATTTTAGGATTATATGTTATATACAAATACAATATTATAGAAACAAACTTTGGTAAATCAATGTTTTGTTCTGTTCCAGTTCGGAGCTCCAGCCCGGACTCAGGATCCAACAGATGATGAAGATTCAGCTCTGCCTCTGTCCTCCTGCTACGCTTGCGTTGGTCCTCACACTGGACCCCCAGCACCCACTGAGACTAGAAACACAGCTCAGCTAGAGAGTGTGTACGCTCAGGTAAAAAAGACCACACCAGGTCCTTGTAAATGATCAGGAGTCGTATTCCACATACTGCACTTGTTGGGATTACGATTTATGGCAACTGAGCCATGGACTTTATTTTCACGTTACCCTCTTTTGGTGTGAAAATCCTAAACCACGTCCTGTGTCTGCACCCAGAAGTGCTCTAACTCCACCTTCAATGCACAGTTGTGATTGGTTAATGATCGATTGAAATGACTCATCAGCTTTTCTTGCAGTGTATGCATTCTGAATCTCCATGGCTATGGGCGGCCATCTTGACTCAAAGGACATTATTTATTGACTCCTCTTAAACAATCCTTGAAACCCTTGCAAATGCACACATCACAGCACACACAGTGAAATATGACCTCTTGGAGGTGTCTGATGCCTTGCTCAAGGACACCACGGCAGGGCCCAGGAGGTGAATTAGGACTTCTCCAAGTAGCAGTCCACACTCCATATTTTAGTTCTGTCCGGGAACTTGATCCGGCGACCCTATTGCTCCCATTCCAAGCCCCTACTGACTGAGCCACTGGCGGCAAGAAGACAATCTATGGATTGAACTTTTCTCTCAATTTAACACACAGTTTAACGACAGGCTTTGAGAGAAACAGATTACATGTAATGGAATTAATGTTATCGTATGCAAAGGATTTTACAGTTGTTACCCTTAGAGTTAAAGAAATACGTTGTTACTGCTACATAACGGAAAAAAATGGGATTATAAGAATGATTACAATGTTACGATACATTTTCAAGTAAAGAAGTATATATTACGATGCTCATTCTCACACAATACTTCAGTTCAAGAGTCTCACAACACCGAGTCTCGAGTGAAGCCAAAGCTAATCTTCCATTGTTGCCTGTAGTTTAAATAAGTCATGAATTGAATGGAAAATACTCATTTTGTGTTGAAAGGAGAAATGTGAAACAAAATGACCGCCATTGAAATCGTGGCTTTCCAGCTGTTAATATGCAATCATTTTCCAAAAAGTCAACATTTAATTAGTTTAATTAATTAGTTAGAAGAATTAGATAGCCGTCCTTAGATTTTTTTATGAATTTAGGACACTTTCACTCTTCTTGTTTTTAAAATAAACGTACTTTTAAATCCTGTGTATTATTTATGCAGTAGCCAATGCAGTTGCACCAACATTGATTTTGCTAAGTGACTGCAGGATTCTTTCTTTTTGAGGTTGTTTCTTCATGGTCTCTGAGGCACTTACTGTGAGACGCTTCTTGATAAATGTGATGTAAGTATGTCATATAATGTAATGTGAGTGTATTTCATGTATTAATTGACAGCTCAGTGGGTGGACAGCTGATTTGTTACAAATGCTGTGAAAGCTCTTAATTAATATACTGCAGTGAACTTAAAAAAAGCATATTCTGTTGGTTATAAAAAGAGCAGCGGACCCATTGTTGAAACTAAACAAACTTATTTTTGTTTATTTTTTTCTAAGGTTACATCGTTCTGTTGTTTTACACCTGGGTTAAAGCCTTGTTGTATTTATTTGCATTGCATTAATATTGATTTGTCCCAAAGTAATGTAAAGTAATTAGTTTACGTTATAGGAATATCAGATACTTACATCGGGTATTGGGTATCGGGTATGGTTAGGTAATTAGTAAATGTAATGGAATACATTGTCACAGCAGAGTGAAAGAAATAATTGCCACACATGATCTTTAGTACAATCAAATAACTAACATATAAGATAATGAAAAATATAGGAATACAAAAGCTTTATTAAATGGTGCATGTATGCTTTCATTCAAAAATATAAACAAGCATAAAACACACTGTACAAAGAATAACTAAATATGTTTTTTAAATCTTTATCATACAAATAAAGATGTTATTTGGGTTTTTTTAAATCTCCGTATTCTGAAGGCAACAAAATGATTTGACCTACAAACAGATGACTTGATATAATCATTGGATTAACAAGAACATTCTGCATTTTCTTGAAAGCTGCCTTCTGTGTTTTCCTTGCAAAGCATCAATGTTTACATCAAGATATGAATTCTCATGTACATTGTAAGTGAACATATTTATATCCATGTTTGCTACTTCTAGCCTTGAGGCCGCACACTTTTGTTGTTGAACTTCTAAATTTCTTGGTGTGTGGATTATGAAAATGTATTTGAAAATGTTTCGTTTGGAAATAATGTGCAACCCCTAATCTTTCTACATACCCCCTGCAATCCCCCCAACTACCCCTAGGTGTCCCCCTACCCCCAGTTGGGAACCAGAACTATGAGTTATTTTGTTCTTGTTGAGCTTCTCCATAAGATGAACCGTGATCATACTTGCCAACCCTCCCGATTTTCGCGGGAGACTCCCGATTTCATTGCCCTCTCCCGGTTTCCTTCCGGGGTCATATTTCTCCCGCATTTCTCCCGATTTCTGACAAAATCAGATTTACTCACGACTGTTTCCACTCTGACTTTAATACAGCTACACCATTGTTTAGTTTCCATGGTAGCACGTATCTTGAGTAGCGCGCAACTGAAAGTCTCTGCTCACTCCTTTCCATATGCTCCATCTACTAGCACCCCCCCCCCGAGCTCCCGATTACTGAGGTCTCAAGGTTGGCAAGTATGACCGTGATGACAGCAGACACCATGATGATCAGACCCACAGAGAAAAGATTCAAAGAGGAAAAAGGTAGTTGGAGAAGAGGAATGACATAAAGACAAGAAGTAGACTGTAGAAGAGATGAAATCAGGGGGAAACAGGGGGAGAAATTGCAAAAAAATTATGTATAAGAGGAAACGTGAGGTGGAGAAGAAGGAAACGGGGGAAGGAGAAAGCGGGCCTAGTTTGGTCCGGCCCGCTTAAACCGTGCTACAGTGGAAAAGCGCCATAAGTGTGTTGCTGAACTTAGAGGAAAAATGCAGAAAAGTTAAATTAATTAAAATTAAAATTGTTAAAGCTCAAATGCATTGCACTGACTTTGTTGGAAAAAAACTGCATTCGCACTAATTATAGAAAGAAGTGGAGGCAAGTCACTCCACCTTAGCTGAAGTCACAAAGACTAACATTTGATTTCCCTGTCGCACAGAAACAAATCCATCCAAATAGCACCTGTCAGTTCATGTGACTTGATTACATTCCTTTCCAATTAGCCAGTTAGCAAACAACACCAAACAAACTCCAGATCAGGGACATGTTGCTCTGCTTCCCGTCTTATTACCTTTCCTCCATCAGGGACAGGAACTTAGTGAATGTAGGTAAATGAAAAACACTTAAGAGGACTCAATACAGGTAAATATAGCATCTCAACCAAGAATCCAGGCTAATTAAAATAGATGTTATCACTTGGGGACTTGTACTTGGTAATCGTCTCTCACCTGGGGGCCTGTCAAAGGGGACATTTGTCCCTCAAACATTATTCTTTTCAACAGGACAGCGGACCTTTTGCTTCTTTAGAGAATCACAGAGCTCAGAAAAAGGAGAAGAGATGCCTTTAAACAGAAACGCATGACATCTCTCTTTCTGTCTGTCTGTTACTGCTTTCACACTGAGCTGCAGTCGATACTCCAGCTGTGGTCAGAGAGGTGAGTTATCGAACAAAAACCTCTGTCAAAGTGAAATCCATCCACTGTCTCACCATGAATACAAACAACAAACATATTCTCACGTTCATAATGGGTCCATCCCAACGCTTTGTTGCTTAGATGGATCTCAAAGGAAAGACATACGGACCAAGTGAGTTTTATAGGTAACAGGAACTTCTTTTCTCTGATACATCAGGGTTAATACTATAACTGTGCATTCAGCTGGTTGCAATAACGATGAAAATGGCCGATACGAGCATTTAATTTAGCCTAGCTTTAAAAACATGCAGAGGAATGAGATTGCTCAGTTTCAGCAAGAATTGAAACTGAGCAATCTCATTCGTCTGCATGTTTTTAAAGCTAGGCTAAATGAAATGCTCGTTGATACTATGGGCACTTGTAAATGTCTATAACTATGTAAATATATCCTGTAAATATAATGTATGATGTCCTTTATTGTTTTATGTTTCATGTGGAACCTATATGCTGCAGGTCTCCCTTGAAAAATAGATCTATGATCTCAAGGGACCAATCTGATTAAATAAAGGTTTGAAATTAAATGAAATGAAGTTAAAGTCATAATAAAATTGTATAAGACAAGACAAGATATGACATTCTAGAATTAGAGTGATTGCATTAGGAGGATATATTAGTTCAGCTTCATGTTTATAATCATCTCTCTAAGTCGCTCCCAATGACACGTACAAACAATCATTCGGACAAGAAGTTCATGTAAAGTAATGAATGATTTTTTATTTATTTAAATCTGATGGTCTTTGCAGGATCACAGCATTGTTTACAGAGATGCAAAAATGAACTTTTAACATGTTAATAAACATCTGTTCTTGCATGCTTTGTTATTAGTTCACAGATCATAAAGTTAATTAAAGTGATAAGATCACAACATTTCTCAGTATCTCATTAAATGCATTATTATTAACTTTAACAAATCACAACACAAATAAATACATGAACAATAACCACACATCGAGTGATTGTCATTAATAAAGTTTAAGTTTTTCAGTTTACTAATATTAATAATCATAAACGTGCGACAACTCATCGACTAATTGCCTGAATTGGATTGGCAGCCCGTGATTCAACACAGTGTGTTACCTCTTCAGTTAGCAGTCCTTTGACTTAGTTTAACTCATATGTTTAAGTGGGTTGGAGATGATATTTATAAATGACTATTATCATTATTATAAGCAAGACAATAAATGGCAAAGATATGTAGAAAATAAACGTATTTAAGAAACGTTCATAACGAACGTAACGAGGGAGAAAATACGTTTCTAGCTAAACGTAATTGAGAATGCAGTTTAGTTCTGTGAACGTAATTTTTAGGAGACAGGGTTGGTTGGAGACATTTAACACAAACTTTTCAAATTTTAATTAAATGTATTTTATTTTTATTCAATGAAAAAACATATCTGAATTTAATGCCTGACTTTTTCAGACTTGGCAATTCAATTCTACAAAATAAAAGAGCACTTAAAAAGTTAATTTAGACAAATGTAATGTGGGAAAACCTGAACACCAGGGAAAGCCCAAACTGATAGATAATCGAGAGGGTGTAGAAGAAAAGGGTGAAGGAGGAAGGGTGGATAGAGGGAGAAGGATAAGGTGGATGAAGTAAGGATTCCAGTAGATGGAGGAAGGTTAGTCTTAGTCTTTCAGCACTGCCGCCCAGCTACGTTTTTTCTCCTCTCCGCTCTCCATTTTCTGCAGACCCACCTCTCCTGCCTCGGTCTGCTTTAAGTCGGAGACTTCTTCCAGTTCCTTCACCTTCTTCTCTCTGGTTTTGCAGCTCTTGTCTTTATTGGCCACCACTGCTGCCCAGCTACGTTTTGTCTCCTCTCCGCTTTCCATTTCCTGGAGGCCTGCCTCTCCGGCATCGGTCTGATTTAAGTCGGGGAACTCTTCTGGTTCTTTCTCCTCTTCCTCTGGGGCTTCACAGATCTGGTCTTTATTGGCCAGGTTGTCCTCTGTCGGTTTTACCTTCGCCATCGGTGTGAAGTTAATTTCCCAGCAATTGTGTGTCTCAACAACGAGGTCATTTATGGACTCCTCCTGTGGTTTGATCGATTCCTCATCCAAGCTAAGCTGTTTCTCAGCCTGGGCCTCAGGGAACGAGACGTCCAGTTTGATATCCTTGACTCTTTTCCTCTGTTGTTTTTTCTTCTTTCTGCTTTTCTCTTTCTGCGGCACGACCTCTGCTGCCTCGGTCTTCGGGAAGTCTGGGAACTCTTCTGGTTCTTTCTTCACATCCTCCACCTCTTGAGACTCAACCACTTCCTGTGTGGACTGTTCTTCCTCCTCCACCTCTGGAGTCTCAACCACGTCCCGTGTGGACTCATCCTCAGTGAACTTCTCCTCCTGATCTTCAATGATCTCGATCAAGGTGACTTCCTCTGCCTGGCTGTGATGTGTCTCAGCTAAGTCCTCAATGGATTCCTCCTCTGGATTCTTAATGTGATCCTCCATCTTTTGGACTTCTGTCACCATCACTGTCTCCGGGTTTTGTTGTTCCTCAGCCGGGCCCTGGGGTAACTTCTCCTCCAGGTTGTTTTCGACCTTGACTTCCTCCTCCAGGATTTCTTGCTTCACAGCCAGGACCTTTGTGCACATTTCCTCCAGATGTGACTTTTTGTCCTCAATCTTCTGGAAAGTATCCTTAATCAAGTTGCTTAGAGAAGCCCAGCTCTCTCTTTTCTCTGCCGTGTCTTTTCTAATCCTCTCTGCCAGGGACGTGTTATCTTTCCCAACGCTTTTAACGTTTCTCGCCTTTTTCTCTTCCAGGCTCTTTGAAGATTCCTCCTTCAGTGCATTGTATTTCTCCTGCCAGTTTGTGGACACTGAGAGACTG